AGCAGAACATGGCTAGGCGAACGAGGGTGCTCACCTACTCCCTTAAGACCTTCGCTAGAAAAACAAAGAGAAAAAACAGCAATAGTATCGTTTGTCCATTTTGAGACGAAAATATATGTTATATTGGAGATTCATTAAATAGCCACTCTTTGCTTGAGGACAGCTTTGCACTCTCTTGGCATTCTCTCAAACAGCTTCATGTGGTAGTCACCTGGAATGCATTTCAATTAACAGGTGTGCCTTGTTAAAAGTTAATTTGTGTAATTTCTTTCCTTCTTAATGCGTTTGAGACAATCAGTTGTGTTGTGACAAGGTAGGGGTGGTATACCGAATAGTCCTATTTGGTAAAAGACAAAGTCCATATTATGGCAAGAACAGCTCAAATAAGCAAAGAGAAACGACAGTCCATCATTTCTTTAAGACATGAAGGTCAGTCAATCCGGAACATTTCAAGAACTTTTAAAGTTTCTTCAAGTGCAGTCGCAAAAACCATCAAGCGCTACGATGAAATTGGCTCTCATGAGGACCGCCACAGGAATGGGAGACCCAGAGTTACCTCTGCTGCAGAGGATAAGTTCATTGGAGTTACCAGCCTAAGAAATTGCAGCCCAAATAAATGCTTCACAGAGTTCAAGTAACAGACATCTCAACATCAACTGTTCAGAGGAGACTGCGTGAAATCAGACATTCATGGTTGAATTGCTGCAAAGAAACCACTACTAAGGGACACCAATAAGAAGAAGAGACTTGCTTGGGTCAAGAAACACGAGCAATTGACATTAGACCGGTGGAAATCTGTCCTTTGGTCTGATGAGTCCAAATTGGAGAGTTTTGGTTCCAACTGCTGTGTCTTTGTGAGACGCAGAGTAGGTGAAAGGATGATCTCTGCATGTGTGGTTCCCACCTTGAAGCATGGAGGAGGTGGTGTGATGGTGTGGTGATGCTTTGCTGGTGAATCTGTCTGTGATTTATTTAGAATTCAAGGCACACTTAACCAGCATGGCTACCACAGCCTTCTGCAGCGATACGCCATGCCATCCCATCTGGTTTGCGCTTAGTGGGACTATCATTTGTTTTTCAACAGGACAATGACCCAACACACATCCAGGCTGTGTAAGGGCTATTTGACCAAGAAGGAGAGTGATGTAGTGCTGCATTAGATGAACTGGCCTCCACAATCACCCGACCTCAACCCAATTTAGATGGTTTGGGATGAGTTGGACCGCAGAGTGAAGGAAAAGCAGCCAACAAGTGCTCAGCATATGTGGGAACTCCTTCGAGACTGTTGGAAAAGCATTCCAGGTGAAGCTGGTTGAGAGAACGGCAAGAGTGTGCAAAGCTGTCATCAAGGCAAAGGGTGGTTATTTGAAGAATCTCAAATATAAAATATTTTGATTTGTTTTACTTTTTTGGTTACTACATGATTCCATGTGTTATTTCATAGTGTTGACATCTTCACTATTATTCTACAATGTAGAAAATAGTAAAAAGAAAGAAAAACCCTTGAATGAGTAGGTGTTCCGATAGTGTATATGCACAAACTCTTCCGAACTGTTTCAGCTGGGAAGCATGAGGACACCTTTAGGGTGTATTCTTAAAAACCAGTGAATATAGGACAAGGTTTATACTATGACATACTGACATAGCTTAAAAGGATAGTTCACCCAAATTACATATGACAGCAATCCATGCTTTGGTTTCCCTGGCATCTTTTCCAAATGCATTTGCACAAATCCCATTTAATATTTATAGCACAAATCCTATTCAAGTCATGACACCGATTTTAGCATTTCTCGCACATCATGTTCAAATCTATAAGTGACTGTTGCGCTTCAATCAATTTTAGATACTTTCAGATGATTTGGACATAATGCTAATATCGGTCCCATGATTTGAATTGGATTTGTGACAAATGCTAAAATGTTAGCATTTGGAATCAGTGCAAGGGAAATAAAACCAAAGCATGGATTGCTGTCATACCTTGTCCATAGACTGATTACAGGGTACGGAAATCAATATGTAATTGTGTAAATTCGGTGAATATCACTTTAAGGGCTTACTCGGCATGTCTGTACGGGAGGACTTGTAAGTGCCTTGCTCAAGGGCACAGACAGATTTTTCACCTAGACGGCTTGGGGATTCGAACCAGCAACCTTTCGGTTACTGGCCTAACGCTCTTAACCTCCAGGAGATACATTAAAAAAAAAAAAAACGTAATTCCCTCAGCAATTATGAAAATGTCCTAGTAAGGGGCTGTATCTTTAACCATGTGTGCATTTAGCGCAGCAACAAAAAAGCCAGATTCCCACAATTTGGCAATTAGACAACAGTACACAATGGAGCCTGGGGATGAAAGGCATAAAAAGTGCCACTATTCATCAACTACAAGGCTCCGTAATGTCCGCATCCTCTGAAATCAGTGACAAGCTTGGGCAGGGCAATAAAAGAGAAAAGCTATCCTGCATTGCCACAGATCACAGCGGTCCAATCCCTCCAGCTGAACTATCGCACATTTCATGCGTCATTCAACAGAATTGGCCAGTTCTCCACCAAATAATTTGTCAAACAAATTCCATACAGATTCCTGTAATTTCAAACACTTAAATTGACAATATTGGTGTGTCCAACATCAACTGTACTCCTAACAATGTAGCCTTTAAATCAATGTTTGTTTAGTGGGCAAGAATATGCAACAGCATTATGATATTAATAGGCAATACGCTTCAAAGACAAGCACAGCAGGATATCATCTATGTTCTTATTACCTACATCAAGGACACTGTTTAGTGTTACCAGGGTAGGTAGCTAATGTTAGTTTTCTTTGTGTGTCAAAGCTCACTGGCTATGTTGGGCACTTCCTCTTCCCTAACTCAATTTAAATACAAATCATAAAACTACTTGCCATACTAACTATAAAACTAGTTTGTTATACTGTAGCTAGCTGTGCATGACCAGGCTTTTCTCCGTCAAATATATTATGACACAGCCTGCCAGCCAGCTCCCCAAGTAGAATCAAGGTAGGCAGGGGACCTTTTAGATCGCTAGCAAGCAATTCAAAACAACTCTCAAAGTCCGTAACTGACTAACATCACCACAATAACATTGTTATTTACTAGCTGCCATTTTTATTTTTTACCAGTCATCGAAATCGCTGTGAATGGGAGATGGTTAAACTGACCAAAAAAAACTGCAAGCTCGAGCAGGCAATTTGGGCTACTGATGGCTAGCCTCCAAGATAGCTCACTTTTCAAGACTGCCAGAAGCAAAACAGCGTAACCTAAGGGTTTTGATTGCACTTTACTTGTGGATTACAATTCATACATAGCTGGCTAGGTAGCTACGCTAGCTGATAATGTTGAACAAACGACATTGCTTGCCAGAGTTTACTGTTAGTTCAGCAAACTTAGTTAGCTACTAAACTTTGCCAAATATAATCGATTGGCCAAGTTGATAGTTCAACACCACTAGCTAGCTGTCTAGTTAACGTAGCTAACTATGTTTTTAGCTATTTACACACTATATAGTTGGTTGTTATGCGCCCCTAGCTCCATTACTGACCGTGAATCAAAGGTTTAACATCAAAGCTAGGTAACTAGTTGGTTAGTTAATGTTAGCTAGTTAGCTTACTTTGTTACCCAGCTAATGTTAGTTAATCAAGTTGACCGTTAGCTAATCGATTCCGACTAGTGGTGGTAATGGCAAAACTAGATAACTGAATTCCTACTAACTTATGCTGACAAACACTTGTTATGAGAGTTAGCGAGCCTAGTTCGGGATAAAGCTAGTCGGCGTTTTATCTTGAAACGCATTGGCAGCTAACGTTACCAGCTTCATTTGCGACTACGTTCAGGTTTAAAAAATATAACTAAACTGGAAAAAAAAGAGGAAAAAAAAGAAATTATAGCTAGCTAACGTTACCTAGCTTAAAAGGACGAAATTAGCTGAGAGTAATGAGTTACCATCTAACTCATGTAAATAAATTAGTAGCTAACGTTGGCTAAGTGGCTATCGAGCCAATTAAGCTTGCTGGCTAGTGGAGCTGGTCAACCATGGCATGGCTTGTCAGCGAAGTACTAGCCACTTGCTAGCTCTGTCAGCCAACCAACAAAATAGACCCACTTTGTAGTTAAATAACAATTTACTTGAGTTCTTCACTTACCTTGCTGCTTTGATAACCTTCAAATGCTCTCAAGGCGCTGTCAGTGAGTTTTACGTGAAAGACGGAGACATTACTACCATTGCTCACTCGTCCACAGGACAATCCGTAGCACTGCTCCTCCTTCAACGCCGCCATCTTGCTACCATTTCCTCCACGCTCACGCACGAATTGCACTCCGTGGTAAACGCACAAAAACTACCATTAGCTTTACAATGAATATTCATATTACGTGCATTGCGTGATGAAGTCACAATTTAATACATTGAAACACGCTAAATAAAAGAAAAACATGTACACGCGACATAAGGGCGTCACATTATCAGGAGGATTAATCATAAACTGCTTATTTACTTCAATATAATGAGGCTTTGAGAATAGAATATGAATCATTCAAAACATGAGACATGTGGGTTCGATCCCCGGGACCACCCATACACAAAAATGTATGCACGCATGACTGTAAGTCGCTTTGGATAAAAGCGTCTGCTAAATGGCATATTATTATTATTATTACATGTCTGGCCAGTGGCTACCAGGGTAAAGCAGATACACAACAGAGATGTGAGTAGGAAGAGGGAAACATTAGGTCACTGGACTACCTCAACAAGAAGTCAATGTCTGACTGAATCCATCAGTTGGGAATGTCCAGTCAATAACAAATTGGTAGAAAACAAATAGGACATGAGAGGAAATGTTCTAGGTTGCTAGCTGTCAGCAAACTAGCAAAATAGACCCAAACTCATTCCACAGAGGGCAGAGTGTCTGCAGGTTTTATCGCTCCTCCCTTGTACTTGATTGATGAATTAAGGTCACTGATTAATTAGGAACTCCCCTCACCTGGCTGTATAGCTCTTAATTGGACACAATTAGAAAGGAGAAATCAAAAACCAACACGGCACTCAATGGAATGAGTTTGACACCCCTGCTCTAAGCAAATGAGTACTTGTCTTCAGATACAGTTTATTTAGCAAGCAGCCGAGTGTCAAATACGAAATAATCAGTGTTTTCTACCTCCTGTAGTACTATAAATCCATTTACTTTCTTTGTCAGTAACAGTGGCAAGCTCTCATTTGACCCAAATGTGTAGGCGTGGAGTCTATGTACTGTAACAACAGAGGTAAAGAAGTGCTCCCAACCTGTCAAACAGAGATTGATAGTTGTACGGGTGACAAGACAACATCAAGATTAGATTCCAGAAGGTTGATAATAGAAAAGGTTGTGGCTCATAGTAACAGAATTGACAAACTTTTATTGAAATAAATACAAAATTAACAAATGAGGGAATGTGAGAAACTCAAAAGCAACCAATGTCCGCAACATTTGACTGTCTTTTTACATATGGTCTATTGTAGAGAAAACATGATATTTCTAATTTCATGACAAAATTATAGAAACTCAAATAAGCAAGCCTCACAACATAGAAACATCATTCACATTTAATGGTTGTCAAAAAAAAAAGACAGTTAAACTGACCAAACCTAAAATTGGTATTAGAAGGTTCAACCTTCAAGTTTGGTCTCAGAATTATCAAAAGTGAGGTATACTCCATTGACTTAGAGAATAAAATAAACTATACATTAAAGCGTGGGTTTCTTCTTTCTGCCATTCAAAGGAATGTGACAGTTTCCATTGACCAAGACTGTGTGAGTGTGGATCACAAGGCCAGATAATACAGCATCTAGATTAATCTCATACCCCTCATCGGCTCTATCCCAATAAAAGAGCAAGAGCAGAATACAAAGAAAAATAATTCAGCAATTAAATAATTGCACAATCATATGCTTTCAAAATATAGGACCATATCACATTAGCTCATTTTAAATAACTTTGACGGATCATTCATAGAATTCTCATTTCAGAGTGCTCAATCAATCAATTTATATTTAGAATCACTACCATAGAGCTCAAGACATTGGCAGCAATTAACAATTAGTGTCTGGCAATAAATAGACATACACACATTTAAAAAGTGGTAAGTACTTTTCATATATAAATGTTTATTGTATAGTATTTGTCACATAATTCTCCCAAGCAGTGACAGAACAGTGAGAAACTTATGGACAATGACACTAAAGAGGTGGCCGATAAAGCCATTTCTGTCACCTTTTTTTACCAGTTACAAAAGGCGCTGCCAGATGTCCAGTTGCTTTTTGTGGGGTCCCACTTTGGAAGGTGCAGGCAATCACCAGAAAAAGTATTGGTCTCATCTAATTTCTGGCAGCTATGACAACTGACAAGGCGACACCTCCGATGGCTACAGCCGTGGCACCGAACAGCCATTTCCAGCTGACACCCTGGGAACAAAAGAAAACAAAATGAGGCTTTCTGTTGACTTGAAGACTGTTTCATCACTTTGACATACATTCAAAAGATAAGACATCCATGTACACCTCCGAAACATACATTGCTAATCCCTAGCTGGGTTAAAATAAAAAAAATTGTCTCACCCATGACGACTTGGCCTGGTGTTGTTTCAGCATGCCACCGCTTCCTGGGTTGCCTAGCATCTTCTTGTACATGGCCTGCTCGGAGCCTTTCTGCTCCGAGTGCTTCTTCACCAGCTTGGAGAGTTCTGCATGGATGGTCTACCCCAGGAGACAGCAAAGTGTGAGAATAAGCTGCAGGCATACTACTCTACCCCCTTCCCACAATCACATAGCCTGTGTATATAAAACACATTCACTGATAACAACAAAACTTTCCCAATGGCTCATGGCATCATTTATGCACAATAATAGTCAGGTGTTCTGTTAACTGCAGGTGGCTTGATTATTGGCGATTGATGCTACTGTGAAATGAATATTCTTGCCAATAAAAATGGGGTAGTAAGTTAACGGCTTCCCTGCATGAGCAAACCCCTTCATATCAAGTCTCTGAGTCATTCGTCTGAAGGGTTTGTCAGTGGGCAATTTAGGACATTTTCACAGTATTGGCCAAAATGTCCATTACAGCTTCCAAGGAGCCACTTACAGAGGAGAGAGTTTGGGTAAGTCTCTGCTCTTTGGGTCTCCTCTCCCACTGCTGCTAAGATTAAATGGGGGCTTCACAATATCAGGTTTCTACAGGGCCCCTTTGGGTTTCCCATGTTGAAATCAGCCGATACTTCTGGTCATGCACACAACAGTAATGTTTGAGGCCAGAAATTACATAACTGCTGCTGTTCTAGTCATCTTTCCCCATTTTACAAAAACATTTGTATTGAGAAGATAAAGGCAAATTGTGTTAATTAAATGAATGTATTCTGACAAGAAAACAATAACATCCATCAAAAATAAAAAGTAGGGAATGGACCACAATTTTAGCATCTAAATATGCAATGTTCTAATCTAGACCATTGAGATTCTATTTGTAATGGTTTCCTGCTCCTAATCTAAAACACTTCAGCAAAAACACCACCATAACCATTCCCAGGCAGCCACACTTGAGAGATTATGTAACCAACTCTCAGTGGTGCAAGCTGCAGCCCAGTTCAGAAGGCAAGAGCTTGTCCAATGCTAATAGAAAATGTCAACATATGAACCACTGCCAGCCCAACACACTCGTGCACTACATTAGTGCCCAAGAAGAAGAAAAAACTGTAAGGGACAATTGCACAAGGCATTCTGTCAGAGCACGACTTCACATGTTGGTGTGTGGGACTGAAAAAAGACAGAGGCGGCAGGAGTGAATTTGGGGGGTTGGGCAAGAGTGCTAAGTATTAACATGCAGCTGGTCCAAGAAGCCAACGCGCGGTGGTGCGCTCAGTCAGATTGCCCTGTGCAGGGAGCCACATGTCTAAGCAATGCCTTAGATATCACCTGGGCACCGATAAACCAACCTATTTACAGCCTCAACACGAAATCAGATCCACCAAAATTATGAGTCTGCAGTCCACCTGGTTTCCCTCATCACCAATATTAGAGAATGTGGTACCACCTGGTGGATGTCAGAAAGAACTGCAACAACATGTGGTCCTGAGAATTTGTTTTCATTCTACATCTTTCTAAATAATGATTTTGTAAATGTTGAGTGCAGTACCTTGTTGCTTGGTTCCAGCTTCAGGGCCATCTTCAAATTCCTTATAGCGTCAGCATATTCTCCTTGCAAGGCCAATACCTACAGATACAGAAGTCCATGGTGACGCTTTCAGACATGCACACTCACAAATACACACATTCACAGATTCAGTTGTTCGAGACCTACCTTGCCTTTGCGGAAAAGGGCTTTGATGTTGTCTGGCTGGTGGGCCAGTACTAAAACACAGGACCGTAGTGCTGCTTCGTAGTGATCCAACTTGAGCTGGGAAGCAGCCATGTTGTTTAGACACTTCACCTTAATGTCCATCAGCTCCTCCTCTTCCTCCGGGCTAATGTCCACTGAAACAACAGTCACACACACCATCAGTAAACTACAGGGAGTCTTGTGCCCAGCCCCATCCAAAAACAGTGCTTTCACAAATAACACAAAAATCTGTCACCACGGTCACCTTTAGAGCTGGACTCAGTGATCTGCAGGGCGATGCCATAAGAGTTTACAGCGAAGGCGTAGTCCCCTCTCTGGTAGTAGACATTACCCCTCTCCCTCTTCTGCCCAGCCAGGGTGACCCTCTCCTGTGGGGACAGGAGCTCAAGGTCGGGGGCCTCAGTGGCATCCAGCAGCTGTACCTCCAGGGCCAGCTCAGCACTGGGAAGCACCTCAGGGGCAAGACTGCCAGTGGAGACAGTGGTGAAGGCCAGGGCAGGGAGCACACAATCAGAGAGCAAAGTCAGGCCGTGTACTATAAGCAGTGAGCTCAAGACAGCACCATTCCACTCACTGCTCTTTTTAAAAAGGGAAGAGTGCTGAGGAGTTTAGCTTTGCTCCCATTAAGAGGAGCACTTTCGAAGAATCCTATCAGGCAAAAGTTAACGATATGTACTCTGACGTCATGAAGCATAGCGAGTTATCTTTATAGGTAATTACAATCTCAGAATAGATATCTTGTTTGGGTAACAACAACAAGACATGCCAGTGAAACCACAAAGAACCAGCAAGATTAAGAAACCCTCCATACCTCCCCAGGGCACCATATGCATATTTAGCATCGGCTTGGACGAGGGCCTTCTCCCCCATTTCCATGAGCTGCACCGTAAGATCCAGAGCCTGCGAGAGAGCACACCCGAGTTAAAGCCTGATAGTTACACTTCTCCTTATCCTAGATCAAAGTTGGAGGCATTGCAGGTGGATAAAATCAACACTGAACTTGAAACATACATTTCTTCCACTTAAATTTCTCGTATCTACTAACATCACTACATTGTATGGAATCCGATAGATCGGATTTGCCTTCACTTAAAAGACTAAGTAGAATGTACCTGGATGACATCACCATCTCCCAGAGTGAAAGACAGCTCAGGTTGCTCTTCTATAAGAGTCCCATCAGCCAGTGAAGTCTTCAGGTGAATCACAACATTCTGGCCTTTTGTGGGCCTGCTGTCTGGCCCATTCCCTGCCCACAGAACTTTCTTCTTTAGCTGGCCATTACCTGCAAATAGATAAGTGAGAATAAGCTTAACCAAATGGTGATGACTGTCAGTAAGTGATAATTGTAATTATTTTGCACTATGGCCTATTTATTGCCTTACCTCCATAACTTACTACATTTGCACACACTGTATATAGATTTTCTATTGTGTTATTGACTGTACATTTTGTTTTTGTTTATTCCATATGTAACTGTGATGTTGTTGTTTTTAAATCGCACTGCTTTGCTTTATCTTGGCCAGGTCACAGTTGTAAATGAGAACTTGTTCTCAACTGGCTTACCAGGTTAAATAAAGGTTAAATAAAAAAAAGTCCTTTCTCTTCGACCTAAAGTAAATATAAGGGTAATTTTGTTACCTAGTATATCCATCCACTCATCTACTGGAGCTGAATGGCTAGTATCTTGGTCCGCTGCAGGCTTCTCTGTTTTAGTCTTCTTCCCACCCCCAGCATCTTCCAAAGGAGGAGGGTCATCATCAATTTCATCATCGTCTAACATCTCAAAGTCTTCACCACTGTCCAGCAGCGAGGCTTTCCCTGACTTCTTCCCTGTTAGAATCGTCTCTGGGTTATCACCTGCACCAGTCACCTCCTCTTTGTCAGTCATCTGTTGAAATGCCATCAATGTGCTTTAGAAATACAGAGGAGAATAGACAGGCATGTTTTTGTCAACAGCATTACCTGTGCCTTTCAAATAAATGGGGTGTTATTGGCTACACTGGAATTATATAGTGCATCTTGTTTGGAAAGAATGGGTTGCTGTGGTTTGACCAGATTCATCCATGATTCTGGATCTGGTAACGTTAGCTAGTTACGATAACAGTGAAGACGCATTGCGTTTCTTAGAGATAAACGTTAGAAAAGAGCCAGTTAGCTAGCTTGCTACAGTAGCTAGTTTAGTTAGTTCGCAAGCAATGTAGCTAGCTGGCATTGTGCATAACTATAGCCAGTTCGCTAGCTAGCTAACCATTTTGGTGATAAGAATGTTCAGGATTTCAGTGGGTGTTTCGAGAACTTTCTGAGAAGTTTGTTGTTGTGAGTTAGCTAGCTAGCTAGCTTGCCTGCTAGAAGGCTAACTAGCTAGCTAGTTGCTATCTTATACAAAATTACCCCTCTGTAATTGTGTCCTTCATATTTATTTGAACGATGCTACAGTGAGTACCTTACCTTACAATATGCTTGGTAAAAGGACAGAATGCCCGATTGAGGAAGAGTTTGTGATGATAGCTAGGTTTGCTTGATGCTTCTCTCATCCGATGGCAGGCTCTTCCTGAGTTCACCTTGGGCCTAAACCAATAACCTAACATAGCAGGCGTAGAAAGACTGCCTGACATCTTTTCTGTATTTCTATTGGCTCATCCTCTGTAAGCGATCACGCGATTGGTAGATCCCGATGACAGTCAAACAGACGAAGTGGCTGTTCAAACCAATGATGTATATAAACCCTGGATTGCTAATGCTATGCATTGGCCAATTAGAGGCTTTGAAGCCACCAGTCGGACATATAGAGCCCCACAGTGGAGGTGTCATATTGCCCATAAAACCTAGTGGTCAAACAGGGAAATGGTTCCATTCATTTTTCCCCATAGGGGATTTTTAAAACACTTAAAATAAGGGCTGTGTTTCATGTAGGCTTACCCTGGCGTGACGTTTTGATAACCATGTAAATCTCTTTCGGACAAGGTGACTTTTATCAATATATTCGGCTCTATTTAATCTGATTCGAAAATGTTAATTAGCGTCAAAGTAGACATCATGCAAAACTACAAATCCCTGCAAGCTCCTACATGTCAAGACATCAGGCTATGTGTGACGTGTCAATTAATAAAATAAATATACACACTGAAGATCAGAGGTGCACAGAAAAAAAGACTCAAACAACGAGGAAAAATCAAATTACATTTATTATTGATGCAGTTGTTTCTTTTTTGATAAGCAAATTATCAGTTTTTCTTTCAGTCTAAAGAAACTTTACAATATAAAGAAACATACAAAGGACATATTTATTACCTACACAAGACACCTAACTCCCTAAGACAATATCTGAACTATCCTACCATGAAATACAAAGCAAACCCAAGGGACAGACTGCTTCATATAGAATACTGCCATGTCATCAGAAAGGACAATGAACGGTACAGGAGAATATTTATATCCCCTCCCCTTGACCCCTGCCCCACACAACCACCCCATCACCCCCAAATCTTCCTAATGTTACAGTATTATACATCACAATAGAAGTACAGAGATGGCCAACAATTGTTATACACAGAGGACTGAGAGAGGATCAGTGAGAATCAATATATACAACGCTATTTCATCAGGAGTGAATAGCAAGGACACAGTTTTTCTGCATAAGCATTACTTTTGATCTATTCTTTAATTTAAAATGACGTTCTTACTATTTTTTCCTTTTTAATGTTTTCTTAAATTGATAAAAATCCTTCATATTAAAACTGTAATTATGTGGTCACATGTTTTAATGAGACGATGGCCTTTGAGTAGACAACCATTCTTAGAAACCATTTGAGATTATTTCTATTGGTAACAGAAGACAAGGACAGAGTGAGGACGCTCCAATTGCAAGACTAAACTGTATCATTGACATCATACATCCCCTTCACCGCCCTCTCTGTCCTTACAAGATAATAAATTGACGCCTCAAACCCAGCTAAATGGATGACAGTTTATTTTCACATATGTATCCTGACCAGAAATAAGAGTGTTTTTTAGGGTGCAGTTACTGAATGTTAAAGTAAATGTTCATGCATATTTCATTTTTACCACAATTTTGTTTTGGCCAACTTAGATCAAATGTCAAGCACATCGTCTCTTTATTATGAAAACATGGACAGTTCATTTATAATTTACTTTCAGCTGTATTCATTGGTAGTGACTGACATATCAAAACATGTCAATGATATCAAAATGCATTATACAGTATTTACAAAAAGGAAATTAAAGGAAAGGAGGGCTCAAGAGTGTGAGGATGGGGCTGTAGGGGGTGGGTGGGTGGGTGGGGGACAGAGGGCTGTGTGCCAGTCAGTCTGCTAGAGGAACACTGGAGCTAGTCGTTCCTCAAGACAACCTACCCAGAAGATGTCCCTGTTTAGCTCAATCTGTGTAGCTCTGAATCCAAGCTACTCCATACCGTATCTGCCAACACTATAGCAAGGTCACTGGGAAAAGACCAATCACAGAGGCCAGAATGATATTAAATAAGAACAACAATATGTAGCTTGTTGAAAAATGACTTTTTGAAATAAACATATCTGTCGCTTAACTGTTCAGAGAAGCACAACACATAAGCAATTCATATGATAGTTTGAGGAACAGCCTTAGGTCAATTCATTCCTTAGGTGTACAGATTCTATGGCCTTTTTTGCACACAATTCCTTGAATACACTTCATAGAAATAAAAAAAAACTCAAGATAAAGAAATAGTTTGACTCACAATTAAGTCCAACCAGGTGGAATTCTCTAATTTCTCAAAGGACGTATTCAAGTGTGAGTAGGTGGACTAAAAGCTACTCTCTGTTCTATAGAGCACTCCTTTCTTGTAGCGGGAGAGTGAGTTAAGCCCCACCGTGCAGTCACTCCAGTCATTTCACACTCCCATCACCAGTGGTGCTACAGCCACCCCATACCCAGGATCTAGCAGCCCATGGACAGGCCCAGACCCACAGAGGGAACAGGTGGATGGGAGCTCTGTGGAGTTCGCCCCTCTCTAAACTATGGTTGCATGTGAGAGGGGTCAGACACCGGATCATAAGGATCTGTGAGGTCAACCCTAACTGGAAGGAAGCAGGTAGAGGTTTGTACACCAATGACATGGAAACCAATAGCAAGTGGCCTGTATGATGTAATCAGTAAATAAAGATTGAGCCTCGAGTTTGTATGCAGGGTAACAGTGAAAGCAATGCAGGAGGAGAAGGATCCATTTTCAGGATTCACAGACAAGTTGTATATCAAAACAACAAATAAACAACTACAATACAAGCTAAATATGTTGTATTTACAGGCAAGACCAAATCCATAGAAGAGCATAGAGGGTCTGTAAAACCCTTTATGTCTTTACTGAATAGGAAGGACACAGGTTGCAAGACAGAATAATACATGTTCAAAGCCACCTGAACTGAAAGTAGAATTAGGAGCCATCAGTCCATCTTTGCACAGTAATGCAACAAGCCTGAATAAACACTTATATACACTGACTCAACATTTTGGGAGGGGTGCGTGTGACCAGACATGTAGAAGACTGACAGACTATTGAGTACCAAAAGACAAAGAAGTTTCTGAGATCGCCTCCATTTTCACATTCACGTTTTGGGGAACTCCAGTGCTAACATGGATGGCATGGATGAGAGTCTTAGGAAGGCTCATTCCTAGATGAGTGATTTCAAGCAGGTGAACAGCTATTCTTGTATTCCTATCACACTCTGCTTGAGTGTTTACATTTTGGTGCCATGATTTTCTGGTAGTAAAGACATTGGCTACAAGTTCTACGAAGAACAGAGAGGTATGCGTAGGGCGTTGAGACAAACAAAACAAACAAGAAACATCAAATACCTAAAATCATGTAAACAGAAGTATCATTGTGCATTTTCTGAGTGTGTGCTTATTCTGTTGTCGATGTTGTTGAGATACAATGTGCCCTTAACAGGAAATCATAACTACATCATTATAACAATATCAATTATGAAAATTATAACAATATTATTATTATTAATAAAATACAAACATAATGAAAACGGTTCTTGCCCTAATACATCATGAGTTAAGCTTTTCATTTCAAAACAAGGACACATTAATTGAATGAAGGTGAGCCTGTTTTTGCTGCATTTCAATAAAATAAGAATAACATGATAAAGTAGAGTGGAGCCACCAGCCTTGATGCTGAGAGGACTGTTGCTGAGGAGGGTTCCTGCAGACGAGACAGCCAGAGTCCCCCACTCTCACTGTCCTGGGCCTGTGAGGAAGCCAGGCAGACAGGGGGAGTCACTGAGCTGGCTCTTCCTGTGGCTCTGAGACTGTTTCCTGATCTGAAGCCCCACTTTGCACACACTGGGATGGGTGATCTTGATGGGAGTCCTGCGCTCCAGTGACATCCCAGGGGGCTGCAAAACACAGCACGCCATCCGGGAGGGGGGGGGGGGGGGTGGAGAGGGCAATGCAAGATGCAGCGGGGTGGGAGGGTAAGGGGGAGAGATAAAAAAAGAAATAAAATAAAATAGAATAAAAGATAAAATAAAAAAGAAATCACACACTCATCGTCATGTTGGGTGAATACTGCAAAGAGAGAAGAAGGGAAGGGGGGAAATAGATGAGCCAATGCTATATTACACTGTTCATATGATGCTAATTCAACATGCAAGCAATAAGCAACTTCACTCAATGTAATTGTGATTTTGTCAACGTAAAAGTTTGTTATCAAGCATAACAAGCAGACTACTTTATGAGATAGCCAGGTAAGAATTATGAATATTTTCTACGTTGACATTATAAAACAAATCTAATTTCGACAAAGTGAGGTAAAGACCGAAGGGAAAGTGTTTAGGATATACAGTGAGGGGAAAAAGTATTTGATCCCCTGCTGATATTGTACGTTTGCCCACTGACAAAGAAATGATCAGTCTATAATTTTAATGGTAGGTTAATTTGAACAGTGAGAGACAGAATAACAACAAAAAAAATCCAGAAAAACACATGTAAAAAATGTTATAAATTGATTTGCATTTTAATGAGGGAAGTAAGTATTTGACCCCCTCTCAATCAGAAAGATTTCTGGCTCCCAGGTGTCTTTTATACAGGTAACGAGCTGAGATTAGGAGCACACTCTTAAAGGGAGTGCTCCTAATCTCAGTTTGTTACCTGTATAAAAGACACCTGTCCACAGAAGCAATCAATCAATCAGGATGTCAGGGACAAGATTGTAGACCTACACAAGGCTGGAATGGGCTACAAGACCATCGCCAAGCAGCTTGGTGAGAAGGTGACAACAGTTGGTGTGATTATTCGCAAATGGAAGAAACACAAAATAACTGTCAATCTCCCTCGGCCTGGGGCTCCATGCAAGATCTCACCTCGTGGAGTTGCAATGATCATGAGAACAGTGAGGAATCAGCCCAGAACTACACGGGAGGATCTTGTCAATGATCTCAAGGCAGCTGGGACCATAGTCACCAAGAAAACAATTGGTAACACACTACGCCGTGAAGGACTGAAATCCTGCAGTGCCCGCAAGGTCCCCCTACTCAAGAAAGCACATATACAGGGCCATCTGAAGTTTGCCAATGAACATCTGAATGATTCAGAGGATAATTGGGTGAAAGTGTTGTGGTCAGATGAGACCAAAATCGAGCTCTTTGGCATCAACTCAACTCGCCGTGTTTGGAGGAGGAGGAATGCTGCCTATGACCCCAAGAACACCATCCCCACCGTCAAACATGGAGGTGGAAACATTATGCTTTGGGGGTGTTTTTCTGCTAAGGGGACAGGACAACTTCACCGCATCAAAGGGACGATGGACAGGGCCATGTACCATCAAATCTTGGGTGAGAACCTCCTTCCTTCAGCCAGGGCATTGAAAATGGGTTGTGGATGGGTATTCCAGCATGACAGTGACCCAAAACACATGGCCAAGGCAACAATGGAGTGGCTCAAGAAGAAGCACATTAAGGTCCTGGAGTGGCCTAGCCAGTCTCCAGACCTTAATCCCATAGAAAATCTGTGGAGGGAGCTGAAGGTTGGAGTTGCCAAACGTCAGCCTCAAAACCTTAATGACTTGGAGAAGATCTGCAAAGAGGAGTGGGACAGAATCCCTCTTGAGATGTGTGCAAACCTGGTAGCCAACTACAAGAAACGTCTTACCTCTGATTGCCAACAAGGGTTTTGCCACCAAGTACTAAGTCATGTTTTGCAGAGGGGTCAAATACTTATTTCCCTCATTAAAATGCAAATCAATTCATAACATTTTTGACATGCGTTTTCCTGGATGTATTTGTTGTTATTCTGTCTCTCACTGTTCAAATAAACCTACCATTAAAATTATAGACTGATAATTTCTTTGTCAGTGGGCAAACGTACAAAATCAGCAGGGGATCAAATACTTTTTTCCCCTCACTGTAGGAATAAAGTCAGCAGTGAGATGAGAATTTCTTCACAGAAGCACACTGCCTAATGGTTGCAGGTTAGGGAAGAGAAGGACTGTAGCGCTGTAGAGTACTCACACTTTCACTTTGGAATGGGTTTAAAAAGTTGCCTGCCATCTCCCCATCATCCCGCGGAGTTCCCGGGGGGTTGTTCATGCCTGCCATGTTGTTGGGAGAATTCTACACAAAAGAAAGAAACATCTAGATTTAGCAAGACAGGCCTTCCCACTCTCATCAGCCATTTCTAGTGACTGGATGTCATCATAAAGTGTCATTACTGAATTTCTAGCAGCTTTGGGTACAAACCAAATCATCAGTATTATAAGCACCTTGGATCAACTTTAGCTGATGGGTGTGCATTGAAATGAATGCAAGACAAGTCTATCTAATATGGAGTCTTTTATAGTCTCACCTTTGGCAACCCATCCATGTCACCAGAGCCTGAAAACAACAAGAGAGAGATTGACATGAGTGAAAAGCTCATCACTGTAAAGCTATGATCAACAGCTCTGGCTGGGGATCACATTCAACACTTAACACAGGTAATGTGCTTTAATTAAGCTATTTGTTTCAAATACAGATGAGACCCAACTTCATTGGCTTCATCGATCATGTCTCACCTGTCTACAGAATCAATGTGCCCGCTTGCTGCCCACATAATCTGTTTCCACTTCAATCAATACTACTATGAAGGGAGCATTACCTCTACCGTCCACAAGAGGGTATTGTCACACTAGGAAAGTGCTACCGGATTTCAACAATTTAAACTAGATGATCACATCAATATTCTACGGTAGAAATTAAAATTAAATTACTGCCTAATATTGATACGCAATTTTCGGACATTTCAAATTTCCTGTTCATCTCAATGGTTAAATAAATTCCTGGCAACCAGTTCTACATGCTGACAGATGAGAAGAATTGTATAATTACTGATCAGCTGATAGCTGCTGTTAAAACTCACCTAGCGATCCGTTCATATGGTGTGGCTCCATGCTTCCCATTCCACCCATTGGGCCATCAGGGCCCGGACCCATTGGGAACTGTAAAAAATAAATAAAAAAATTACAACTTACTGATCGTTTTTATTATCATATTAAATGGCATAATCATTGCCTCTATCGATTTGAAAACAGGAACCCCATGAAAAACAAAGAGCCAGCTTACATTAGGTCTGTTACCACCAGGGCCAATAGGATTCATCATTGTGTAGATGTTTTCACTGGAATTTGTGGAGTCTGGTGAGAAAAAAACAACAGTTAGTCCAGCCTACAGTAACTACAGGCAATTCAGCTGCGGGATCGGGGCACCACCAGTGCAGAGCTTGCTCAGGAATGGCAGCAGGCAGGTGTGAGAGTGCATCTGCACGCACAGTGAGGTGAAGACTTTTGGAGGATGGCCTGGTGTCAAGAAGGGCAGCAAAGAAGCCACTTCTCTCCAGGAAAAACATCAGGGACAGACTGATATTCTGAAAAAGGTACAGGGATTGGACTGCTGAGGACTGGGGTAAAGTCATTTTCTCTGATGAATCCCCTTTCCGATTGTTTGGGGCATCCGGAAAACACCTTGTCCGGAGAAGACAAGGTGAGCGCTACCATCAGTCCTGTGTCATGCCAACAGTAAAGCATCCTGAGATCATTCATGTGTGGGGTTGCTTCTCAGCCAAGGGAGTAGGCTCACTCACATTTTTTCCTAAGAACACAGCCATGAATAAAGAATGGTACCAACACATCCGCCGAGAGCAACTTCTCCCAACCATCCAAGAACAGTTTGGTGACGACCAATGCCTTTTCCAGCATGATGGAGCACCTTGCCATAAGGCAAAAGTGAGAACTAAGTGGCTCGGGGAACAAAACATCGACATTTTGGGTCCATGGCCAGGAAACTCCCCAGACCTTAATCCCATTGAGAACTTGTGGTCGATCCTCAAGAGGCGGGTGGACAAACAAAACCCCACAAATTCTGACAAACTCCAAGCATTGATTATGCAAGAATGGGCTGCCATCAGTCAGGATGTGGCCCAGAAGTTAATTGACAGCATGCCAGGGCGGATTGCAGAGGTCTTGAAAAAGAAGGGTCAACACTGCAAATATTGACTCTTTGCATAAACTTAATATAATTGTCAATAAAAGCCTTTGACACTTATGGAATGCTTGTAATTATACTTCAGTATACCACAGTAACATCTGACAAACATATCTCATAACACTGAAGCAGCGAACTTTGAGAAGACCAATAATTGTGTCATTCTCAAAACTTTTGACCACGACTGTCGAGGTGACCTTGATCCGACATTGCAGTGTGGTGAGAGTAGGAGATACATGTATATAACAAATGAAGGGATAGAGAGAGAGAGAGAATGAGTGAAAGAGAGAGGGAAAAAGAGGGAGAGAGAATGGGGGCAAGAGAAAAAAAGAAAGAGAGAGTGTGGGGTTTGGCGCCTGTTTGTGGCCCTGGGTGTAGATTGTGCAGCCGTGACTGAGGGTGTGGCAGGGTGGGGGGGGTCTTGGCGACTGCAGTGTAAAAATGTGTTCCAGCTCTACGTGTAAGGAGCGCTGTGCACAGGTTGCCCAGGCAACGCATCACAATAGAGGTATGTATATAAATAATAAATAGTGGACACAGAAAGAAACTGCTCCACCCTAACAAAAACTGCACATCCACAGGATGTTAGTCCAGAGCAGTTTGTTCTGTCTGTGCTGTCCTCAACAGGAACATCAGACTGATGCAGCATCGCTGAGAACATCAGATGATCACAGCTCAATACTCTGCCAATTTACACAAGTCCACTGGTCCAGTATAGACGACACATAACTAGCTAAGGTTGTTTAACATACAAATCACTCAAAATGTCAGTGTGACTGTGCCCACAAAGTAAATGAGCACTGGGAGTCATAAGCAGAACCATGAATGAAACAAACAGCTTAAATAGAGTGGGCTGAGTGAGGAGTGACATGGAGACAAATAAGTGTGACCTACCTCCTGGGCTAGGCATGATGGGAGTTCCTGGTGGGCCTCCACCCCCTGGAGGACCCTGGGATAAAGACGAGAGGAGGAGAGAGAGATTTAGAGGATTGATATTCCCAAAACATCTAGACATACAGTTGAAGTCAGATGTTTACATACACTTAGGTTGGAGTCATTAAAACTCGTTTTTCAACCACTTCACACATTTCTTGTTAACAAACTATAGTTTTGGCAAATCGGTTAGGACATCTACTTTGTGCATGACACAAGTCATTTTTCCAACAATTGTTTACAGACAGATTATTTCACTTATAATTCACTGTATCACAATTCCAGTGGGTCAGAAGTTTACATACACTAAGTTGACTGTGCCTTTAAACAGCTTGGATAATTCCAGAAAATGAGAACATAAGCTTCTGATAGGCTAATTGACATCATTGGAGTCAATTGGAGGTGTACCTGTGGATGTATTTCAAGGCCTACCTTCAAACTCAGTGCCTCTTTGCTTGACATCATGGGAAAATCAAAAGAAATCAGTCAAGACCTCAGAAAAATTATTCTAGACCTCCACAAGTCTGGTTCATCCTTGGGAGCAACTTCCAAACGCCTGAAGGTACCACGTTCATCTGTACAAACAATAGTACGCAAGTATAAACACCATGGGACCACGCAGCCGTCATACCACTCAGGAAGGAGACGCGTTCTGTCTCCTAGAGATGAACGTACCTTGGTTCGAAAAGTGCAAATAAATCCCAGAACAACAGCAAAGGACCTTGTGAAGATGCTGGAGGAAACAGGTACAAAAGTATCTATATCCACAGTAAAACAAGTCCTATATTGACATAACCTGAAAGGCCGCTCAGCATGGAAGAAGCCACTGCTCCAAAATCGCCATAAAAAAGCCAGACTACGGTTTGCAACTGCACATGGGGACAAAGATCGTACTTTTTGGAGAAATGTCCTCTGGTCTGATGAAACAAAAATAGAACTGTTTGGCCATAATGACCATCGTTATGTTTGGAGGAAAAAGGGGGACACTTGCAAGCCGGAGAACACCATCCCAACCATGAAGCAAGGGGGTGGCAGCATCATGCTGTGGGGGTTCTTTGCTGCAGGAGGGACTGGTGCACTTCACAAAATAGATGGCATCATGAGGGAGGAAAATTATGTGGATATATTGAAGCAACATCTCAAGACATCAGTCAGGAAGTTAAAGCTTGGTCGCAAATGGGTCTTCCAAATGGACAATGACCCCAAGCATACTTCCAAAGTTGTGGCAAAATGGCTGAAGGACAACAAAGTCAAGGTATTGGAGTGGCCATCACAAAGCACTGACCTCAATCCTATAGAAAATTTGTGGGCAGAACTGAAAAAGCGTGTGCGAGCAAGGAGGCCTACAAACCCTGACTCAGTTACACCAGCTCTGTCAGGAGGAATGGGCCAAAATACACCCAACTTATTGTGGGAAGCTTGTGGAAGGTTACCCAAAACGTTTGACCCAAGTTAAACAATTTAAAGGCAATGCTACCAAATACTAATTTAGTGTATGTAAACTTCTGACCCACTGGGAATGTGATTAAATAAATAAAAGCTGAAATAAATCATTCTCTCTACTATTATTCTGACATTTCACATTCTTAAAATAAAGTGGTGATCCTAACTGACCTAAAACAGGGAATTTTGACTAGGATTAAATGTCAGGAATTGTGAAAAACTGAGTTTAAATGTATTTGGCTAAGGTGTATGTAAACTTCCGACTTCAACTGTATATACTTATTATTACATTTTACATTTTAGTCATTTAGCGGACGCTCTTATCCAGAGCGACTTACAGTTAGTGAGTGCATACATTTTCATACTGGCCCCCCGTGGGAATCGAACCCACAACCCTGGCGTTGCAAACACCATGCTCTACCAACTGAGCTACACGGGGCCTTATTATGGACACAGTATGCTTACATTATTAGTTATCTTGTTGTTATTAGTTGTTGTTAGTTGTTATTAGTCCCATCCTTCAACTCCATTCAACACCACCCATCTATCTCTTAACACCATCCATATTGGATTTCTATTTGCCATATATTTTTCAACTGTACTGTGATGTTTTACAAAAGTTCTGAACCTTTCTATATTCATTGTTTCTACAGATTATAAATTGAAAATAAACATTTTTGCTAAAAGTATTATTATATTATTGATCGATTGACTATGACTTTTCAGATCACCCAGTAGTGCTATCTGCAGGGTTAGCTCCAGGTAAATATTGCAATCCTTTAGCCATTCCTAGACCTGTGTCCAAAAACAAGCTACAAATGGACAGTACCAAAACAAATGATCTAATGATTCTGTCTTTCTAGGCTTGAGACTTACCACATAGTTGCCAGGAGATGAGGAGGAATAGGCTATCTATAGAGAGAACACAAAGGGGACAGAATCAGTAAACGTGTGACTTTCACAACAAAGAAATGCCTCTAAAATCAATGAGGCATTAGAGTGAGTGAGGTGGTGAGTGATTAAGAAGGTGAGTGATTGAGAAGGTGAGTGAACAGGACTTACTGAGTTTGCGTTGGGATTGGGCCAACCTCGACCTCCGGGACCCCTGAGACAGAGGGGAGGAGAAGAGGTTGTGTGAGAGAGGCTCACTGCAGAACAAATTAGAGCTTGTATTCCCTCAAATTGTTGCTTGTCAAATATTCTTACATCCCATCAGTGCTATTAATAGCAAATGTAATAGTAATTCAGATATTTGGACAAAATAAAACATCATAGTAAGTGCATGGAGGTGATTAAATGCCTTTGGAGAATGACTGTACTCACATGTTCATTCCTGGCATTCCTGGCCCCATCGAGTTGGGAGGAGGCCTCATTCCACCGCCATAGTTCTACACAGAGAGAGGAACACACAGCGTCAACCTTTCGTACTACCGAGGAGAATACATGCCAGGGATCACACTCTCATTTGTTCTGTTTAAGCCAGGTGCTGAGATTTTAATGACTGGATCCTGATTAGTAATGTAGGTGTATAATGATAACAGGGGCGGACGTGTGTGTGTCGGCATTGTGATGTGATGACTGCACAGTGGGGGCTTGGCAGGACGGCAGCGTGGGGCAGGACACAGAGCAGCTCCACTCAGAGGTAGAGTTTTGTTCAGCAGACGATTACACTTGTCGAGCAGATGCCGTACCAGCTGCTGAATTGTTGACTGCCAAAGTCACACAGTAAGGGAGGCAGGGAGAAGGGCAGGGAAGCACAGGGGGCCATGATGCTCAAACTGACTGACTTGGTGATTGGAAACTAGACTGTGGAATTATACTCAACGAGGAGAGAGTGCTACTTGAGAGGTATTATGTCAGGCTTGCTTTGAGAATGATAGAAGTACAGTGAGGGAAAAAAGTATTTGATCCCCTGCTGATTTTGTACGTTTGCCCACTGACAAAGAAATGATCAGTCTATCATTTTAATGGTAGGTTTATTTGAACAGTGAGAGACAGAATAACAACAAAAAAATCCAGAAAAACGCATGTCAAAAATGTTATAAATTGATTTGCATTTTAATGAGGGAAATAATTATTTGACCCCCTCTCAAATCAGAAAGATTTCTGGCTCCCAGGTGTCTTTTATACAGGTAACGAGCTGAGATTAGGAGCACACTCTTAAAGGGAGTGCTCCTAATCTCAGCTTGTTACCTGTATAAAAGACACCTGTCCACAGAAGCAATCAATCAATCAGATTCCAAACTCTCCACCATGGCCAAGACCAAAGAGCTCTCCAAGGATGTCAGGGACAAGATTGTAGACCTACACAAGGCTGGAATGGGCTACAAGACCATCGCCAAGCAGCTTGGTGAGAAGGTGACAACAGTTGGTGCGATTATTCGCAAATGGAAGAAACACAAAATAACTGTCAATCTCCCTCGGCCTGGGGCTCCATGCAAGTTCTCACCTCGTGGAGTTGCAATGATCATGAGAACGGTGAGGAATCAGCCCAGAACTACACGGGAGGATCTTGTCAATGATCTCAAGGCAGCTGGGACCATAGTCACCAAGAAAACAATTGGTAACACACTACGCCGTGAAGGACTGAAATCCTGCAGCGCCCGCTCAAGAAAGCACATATACAGGCCCGTCTGAAGTTTGCCAATGAACATCTGAATGATTCAGAGGAGAACTGGGTGAAGGTGTTGTGGTCAGATGAGACCAAAATCGAGCTCTTTGGCATCAACTCAACTCGCCGTGTTTGGAGGAGGAGGAATGCTGCCTATGACCCCAAGAACACCATCCCCACCGTCAAACATGGAGGTGGAAACATTATGCTTTGGGGGTGTTTTTCTGCTAAGGGGACATGACAACTTCACCGCATTAAAGGGACGATGGATGGGGCCATGTACCGTCAAATCTTGGAAGAGAACCTCCTTCCCTCAGCCAGGGCATTGAAAATGGATTGTGGATGGGTATTCCAGCATGACAATGACCCAAAACACACGGCCAAGGCAACAAAGGAGTGGCTCAAGAAGAAGCACATTAAGGTCCTGGAGTGGCCTAGCCAGTCTCCAGACCTTAATCCCATAGAAAATCTGTGGAGGGAGCTGAAGGTTCGAGTTGCCAAACGTCAGCCTCGAAACCTTAATGACTTGGAGAATATCTGCAAAGAGGAGTGGGCCAAAATCCCTCCTGAGATGTGTGCAAACCTGGTGGCCAACTACAAGAAACGTCTGACCTCTGTGATTGCCAAGAAGGGTTTTGCCACCAAGTACTAAGTCATGTTTTGCAGAGGGGTCAAATACTTATTTCCCTCATTAAAATGCAAATCAATTTATAAACATTTTTGACATGCGTTTTTCTGGATTTTTTTGTTGTTATTCTGTCTCTCACTGTTCAAATAAACCTACCATGTCTTTGTCAGTGGGCAAACGTATAAAATCAGCAGGGGATCAAATACTTTTTCCCCCTCACTGTAGGTTGAGACTGAATTGAAGGAATAAAGTAGTGATGTATAAAACCTTGTTCAGTGTGTTGTGCTGTAAAGGGACATGGGGTTCATGGATAGAGGGGTGGAGCAGCAGAGTTTAGGGGAGAGTGATGGTGTCCGTCTGTACCTGTGGGCCCATGCCGCCCATCCCTCTGGGGGGGTTCATCCGCATTGGGCCACCCATGTTTGGATGTCCTGGAGGAGGGATGATTGAGAGGAAGTTGTCAGCATGGGACAATTTCAGACCAAATACATATCCTTAAGTTATTAGGATGTTGCATGTTACAAAATGAATAGAAATGTGAGGTGCATACCCTGTGGTCTGGTGGGGTCCAGGCTGTTTGGCAGGAGTGGCTGTGACCCTGGGACTCCCACAGGTGGCTGAAGGAGGAAGAGAGAGAGAGAGAGAGAGAAACATTAGCACAGAGCATTCAACTCCCTGAAAATGTATGCCTCACATGTAAGACACAGACTTATATTAGAGGTCACCTTTTATTTGTGTGTGGGGTGAGGGGAGAGATACCTTACCTGATTTGGCATGCGAAGTGAGGGGCGAGGTCCACCTGGGTACCGTGGGGACATGAAAGGCTGTGGGGAGGAGGACAGATATTAACGTTAGTCCTATCCATCATGCTACTGTGTTACCTGCAGCTGTCAGCAGGGGGAGCTATTGTGCTGGAGAAAATGCTCAGCGTTTGAAGGAGCTTTGTTGCCATTCTACACAAGGCAAAGGTTGTGTCAGAGTTCTGAAGACCAGTCCTCAGATGCTGAAGACAAACAGAACAGAGAGAGAGAGAGAGAGAGAGAGAGAGAGAGAGAGAGAGAGAGAGAGAGAGAGAGAGAGAGAGAGAGAGAGAGAGAGAGAGAGAGAGAGAGAGAGAGAGAGAGAGAGAGAGAGAGAGAGAGAGAGAGAGAGAGTGCGAGAGCGAAAGGTATAGCTGCGGGTGAACATGGTTGTGGGTGACGCAGCATGTTGAATGAGGGAACAGTTACGGATGAGGGTACAGATGGGTGGTGGATGTGGCTGGGAGGGTAGTTGAAGAATACACACACCTACATCTGTTTTTCCATATGCATCCACACACACACACACACACACACACACACACACACACACACACACACACACACACACACACACTGTACTGACCAACGTACCACAGAGAGCTACAATAACATTTCTACAACATTTCTACAGTGTGATGCAACCACAGAAAATAGCTCAACGTATCTAACGAAACAAAAAAAATTACTCTCAAAATACTTTAATCCATCAAGGGACAACAAACTTAAATATATCTAATCATCAAGAGTGCATTACACACACATTATCACGCTTACAGGCAGGCGAAACATGACGCCATGACTACAATGAAACAGGCTTTCAGAGACAATTAAACACAAGCTACTAGTTGGGCGAGGGGAAACGAGGCCAGCTGGAGGACAGCTTATATAATGACCAGGCCCTGGAGGGAAAGACTGCTGTTTCCCCTCCACCCTCTCTTCCCCTCGCTCTCTCTCCCCCTAAGTCCCTCCCTGTCTCTCTCCCCCTATGTCCCCTCGTGTCTCTCTCCCCTATGTCCCTCCCTGTCTCTCTCCCCATATGTCACCTCCCTGTCTCTCTCCCTATGTCCCTCCTGTCTCTCTACCTCTATGTCCCTCCCTGTCTCTTCCCCTATGTCCCTCCTGTCTCTCTCCCTCATGTCCCTCACTGTCTCTCTCCCCTATGTCCCCTGTGTCTCTCTCCCTTATGTCCCTCCCTGTCTCTCTCCCCCTATGTCCCTCCATCTCTATGTCCCTCACTGTCTTCTCCCCATGGTCCCTCCCTGTCTCTCTCCCCATATGTCACCTCCCTGTCTCTCTCCCCCTATGTCCCTCCTGTTCTTTCTCCCTCTAGTCCCTCCATGTCTCTCTCCCCCTATGTCCCTCCCTGTCTCTCTCCCCCTATGTCCCTCCCTGTCTCTCTCCCTCTATTGTCCCTCCCTGTCTCTCTCCCCCTAAGTCCCTCCCTGTCTCTCTCCACCCTATGTCCCTCCCTGTCTCTCTCCTCTATGTCCCTCCCTGTCTCTCTCCCCCTAAGTCCCTCCCTGTCTCTCTCCCTCTATGTCCCTCCCTGTCTCTCTCCCCCTATGTCCCTCCCTGTCTCTCTCCCCCTATGTCCCTCCCTGTCTCTCTCCCCCTATGTCCCTCCCTGTCTCTCTCCCCCTATGTCCCTCCCTGTCTCTCTCCCTCTATGTCCCTCCTGTCTCTCTCCCCCTAAGTCCCTCCTGTCTCTCTCCCTCTATGTCCCTCCCTGTCTCTCTCCCTCTATGTCCCTCCCTGTCTCTCTCCCCCTATGTCCCCTCGTGTCTCTCTCCCTCTATGTCCCTCCCTGTCTCTCTCCCTCTATGTCCCTCCCTGTCTCTCTCCCCCTATGTCCCTCCCTGTCTCTCTCCCCCTATGTCCCTCCCTGTCTCTCTCCCCCTATGTCCCTCCCTGTCTCTCTCCCCCTATGTCCCTCCCTGTCTCTCTCCCCCAATCCCCATCTCCTCTCCCTCAGCCTTTGTATTAGCCAAGTTGTGGCGAGTTTGTGTGCGAGCGCTCCACAGTCCCAGGCACTGCTGCAATATTAATGGGATATTGATGGGAGATGGGATAGTGAGTGCTGGGCTTAGGAAGAGGAGAGAGCCGGCCTGCTCCTCCCCTCCTCTCCTCCTCCTCTCATCCCTACAGCTGGGCCAACACAGCTGAATTATTTATCCCATCTACAGCATCATGGCCACTGTCTGTCTGTCTGTCTGTCTGTCCACAACTAGGGAGCAGGGCAGTTTGTATAGACATATGTTGTGGGGGGTGGGAGCCAGGTGGTGTGGGTAAGTGAGTGAATGAGTGAGTGAGTGATTGAGTGAGTGAGACAAAGAGAGAGAGACAGAGACAGATAAGGAGTGAGTGGGTGTAGAAGAGGAAGTGACAGGGGGAGGAAGCGAGACAGAGGGAGGAAGAGAGACAGAGGGAGGAAGAGAGACAGAGGCCTCTCAGTGTGAGTGGATAGGCAGAGAGAGATAGTGAATGAGTGAGAAAGTGGAAGAGGGACTGCCTGCCTGTGTGAGAAACACTCTTCTCACACCACTTAAATACAGCTACGACCGGAAGTTACTTTTTTGTAGCAGGTTAGGAGAATTTACGCAGCAGATAGGGAAAATTAATGTAGCAGGTTGGGATAATTAGATTAGGGTTAGGAAAGGGTTTAGGGTTAGCGAAAATGCTCTCCTAACCTGCTAAGAAAATCACTTCCCGGCATAGCTGTATCGATGTGGCGTGAAAAGAGTTTATCCCTGCCTGTGCAGCAAGAGGCGAGGGAGAGGGGGCAGAGCAGAGTGTGTGAGTGTCTCTTACCTGGCCGTGAGGTCCCATCATGGGGTTGTTGGGGTTGTGTGGGGGTGGCTGTGCGTGGGGTGACGGCTGGGAGCCGGGAGGTCCCTTTAAGAGAGAAGAGGGAGGGAGATGAGTGATACAGTGAGGCTCGGAGGACCATGGACTGGAGGTGACCTAGCTGTAGCTGCTCCCTCTAACACACACAATAACAGCAGCAGTACAATACACCACACTACACCACTATGGCTAACTGTTCATAATGTCTGTACCATTTCACTGTGCTGTGCCCATAGATCACCATCACAACACATATGCATGTATGGATGGCCAATACAGTTATTTAAATGCATCATACATCTTTGTGTTGAATAATATGTCAGATGAAATATAATTCACACAATGAATCTCTTAAACATAGATGGATGAGGGATGCCAAAAGAGCTGATCATATACAGGAACTTTGTAAATATATTACATATGGAACAACTGATACCTAACCTCCGATAACCCATTAAGCAACCACCTTCAAACCAGGACCTGTTCAAACTTGAACAAGCCGTATGTAAACCCAGAGTCATACAGTGTACAGAGACGGGACCACACACGTTCACAGCCACGTGTTATCAGCCAGTCTGTCAGAGCCTCCATGAGACCTGAAGCGCTCAGGTAACCATGCGGCCGCAGCAACGCACGCACACAACCCTTGAAGCCTTCAGGTAATGTTGCAGACTGGTAATCCTGCCCTTTCAAATCAGCAATACCAGACACACACCTGTATGAGTACCAAGCCCTTCCACACACACACACACGTCCCCATTTCACCTGAATGTCTTTCCACGGGAGCAGGGAGACACTGATCTTTTGCAGTTCTCTGCACCTGGCCAGGAGACAATTCCACTATTTAACGTCATCTCACTAGGAAGATCCGACCTGTCTGATGAAACCTAATTCCCATTAAATCAAACAAGCTCTCTTCAGTTCCAACAGACCAAGCAGCAGCAGCTGCACAGATACCAGCAGCATCTTCTCTTCTCATCCTCACCCACCATGAGAATCTCTGGCACAGGGGAGATGGTGGTGCGCTGACAGAGAGGAGAGCAATGAAAACCTGTGGGCACTGCTTGAACAGAATAAACAAAGGAATAAAAGTCTAATGCATTCAAATGTTATTTTATGAAGATTCATTACAGATGCAGTACAGAAACGCTTCAGCCTGAGAAGTCAAGCAGCAAGTCAAACCTGGGTGTTGAGAGGTGTACAGCGTAAGTGGGGTATGCAGTCAGCCATTGTCCTCCTTAGCCCCCTCATGTATATAGCCTTCTCCATGTGAGAGCCGTGTTGATAAAGGCACCTAGCTGTGGATCTATGAGGAGCTCTTGAGATGAAGTGTTTGCAGCGTGGTGTATTGAATCCACATAAATTGTTGCCCAATAGTCTTCACATGTGTGTTTTGTATATAAAACCCACTTACTATAGTGGCCTTGTGCTTTGATTCACAATTCTTACCAATATTGAGTAGAGACAAATAATTTCTGTTTAAACTGTAACAAATGTGACTGCAGCTATAGAGTGGTAGATCTGACATAAGTGTTATAGAAATGACTGAGGTGTCACAGTCGTGACAGTGCTGTGTTACGGACATGACAGTAGCGTTACGACTATGACTGCGCATGGTCCTGAGCAGCGTTTTGGGTGGTGGTTAACACCAGCTGCGCTAGCTGGCCTCAGCAGGTTAGCGTGGAGTGGTTGTGCCATCCTTCCGTCAGACCCCAGAGTTATTATTGTTGGGGAGTCTGTCGTAGCAGTGTGTCTAACAAGCCACCCCTGCTCCTCCTCTCTCTACCTGCCCCTCTATAATACCTTATAAAGGAGCTCCACTCGCTACTCTGGCCTTCCTCTGTCTCCATGCTATTAGGACTGAATGGGGAAGCATATGGCATTTATGAGGTTTGCGGTCCCTTCGATGTATGCCTGCAGAGAGAGAAAGGGACTAGGCCAATTCGTGTATGAAAAACAACACGGCAGGACTGCGTGTGGGTGTCTGTGCGAGTGCTTGTAAGAGTGTGTGTGTGTGTGAGAGAGAGGGAGAGGGGGAGCGAGGGAATGGGAGGGGGGGGTTAAATGAAGCAATTAATAAAATCATTTTCTACCCAGCTAAGGAGATAACAGCTTGGCAGCGTACCACAAACCCATCAACACAAACCCCTCCGACGTACTCTCAGACTCCCCCTCCCCAGATCTGCATTAGGAAGAACACAACACAACAGCTCTGCTGCTATCCCTGAAGGGGTAGTAACACTGAACACAGAACAGAACGGATGGCTATACTGAGCCAGTGACGTGTGTATGTACCGTATATACAGTACCGTCCAACACCACAAGAGGGCAGTGTGGAACTACCAATAGAAGCAGGCAGAGCACAAAGCCAAACTGAAACACAACAAACAAAGCCTGGACAACAACAGCACAATGCACACTCATTGTCATTCCTTTCTTCCATTCCAGCGGCAGCAGCTCTACAGGCTCATGGTATGGCATGGCAACATGTCAGCTCGGTGGGGAGAGCCTGCCACAAGTGTTTTCTCCCCGAGGAGACTGGAGAACAGTGCGCTGATAGTCGTTTAGCATGTTACTGTGAGTCGCTGCCCTGTATATATAATTCCTACCTCAGCGGTCAGGAATGTCAGTCGATATTCTACTTCCAGACTAGGCTACAGACAGACAGTTGACAGAGTGAACAACAGAGTGGTTGGTAGTGGAGAGACAGAGAGAAAGGGTTGGCCCAGGAATGCCAACATTCCTTCTCCATTGGTCCCATTCAATCATCACTTCTTCTTCTACAAGGCATTTTCAAACTTTGACCTCTAGGATCCAGTCTAACCTTCTACCATAGAGACCAAGCCATCTCCAAACACAATGGGTAGTCCATCAACTCAACAGAGTTCAGCAACTGATTCTCAACAAGAGAGTAGCTACTATACCTAAACTAGACAAGTCTACCTATCGGTACCTCGACTCAGACACTTTTAACTGACCCCAAACTCAGTTAGTCTTGATTTAGAGTTTACACCCGGGCTACAGAACTACGATACGTTCCAACTGTGATCCAATTTCAATGACAGTTACCTGGCCATCTTGTTGACTATGGAGAGACATTCCTGTAACAGTACAAATAGATTAGAAACCAGCTCGGTTCCATTTATGACCACTGTTTACTCTTTCAGGATTTGTAAAAACAATGGATTGACATTGTTTTCTTCTATCCCCACTGGGCCAACATGCTGTTAGTGTGTGCCGGCAGTTTCTCCTTGTCCTCCCCTCTCCTCTCCTAGTGTGAGTTGGGCCTGCCCTCCCCAGAGGGGCTGCTGCAGTGGAGTTTTGGCGTGAGGATTATTAAGCGGGCTGACCCCTGCTATACCAGGGAGAATCGCAGATCCGGGCCAGACGCCAACACGCAGGCTTTGTGGTCCTCCTTCCACAAACCCTCCCTCCCTCCCTCCACACTCCTCTCTCTCCTCCCTCCCCTCTCCTTTGCTGCAGGAGCCTGATCTGAGTCCTGGCCTGCAAGGTACAGATTAGGGGAGTCTTGAGGCTGCGGGGGGCTCCCTCTACCCCCAGCCCAGTCCTCGCTCTCTGGGCTGCTGCTCTGCTACCACGGCAGTGCTGGGGTCACCTATGTTAATTACCCCTCTCCTCTGTATCTGGGAGGGATGCTAGAAAACACACTGCCTGCTACTACTGTACACACACACACACACACACAGCCATGCACAAGCATACTGTTTGAAGTACTGTACACCCTAGCAAGCACATACAGAAATGCTCTGATTTATGCACTACTTTTGAATACTTTTCATGTACTTTCTTCCCTAACAGAAAGAGACAGTCAGACAGGTCAGGAGACATGAGGAGAGAGGAGAGAGAGAGAGAAGCAGGATGTGGAAGATTGATGAATGATGGGTAATGGTGAAAAAAGAGAGGAAGGTAGCTGAATCCTGCAAAAAGGAGAGATTAGCAGAAGAAAGAGGGGGCAGAGACAGGAGTCACTGAGTTTGTGTGTGTGTGCGCTTGAGAAAGAGAGAGAGAGAGAGAGAGAGAGAGAGAGAGAGAGAGAGAGCAAAAGAGAGAGAGCAAAAGAGAGAGAGCAAAAGAGAGAGATAGCAGGCACATGAAGGAGGGGGGAGAGGAGGAAGGTCATTAGTAGAGAGAAGACAGAGCTTGTCCATAACAGTGAAATGTTTATCATTTTTCACAGAGAGCTTTCAGAACACACGACTCCTCTACAGATGTCTAAGCTTGGATAATAAATACAGTAGTACAAACAGAAGAGGCACATGATTAGCAAGATCTTACTGTGCATAGACAACAACAACATTAGACTACATGACTGGGAGGGGCAGTCTGTCAGAGAGCTCTGTGTGTGTGTGTGTGTGTGTGTGTGTGTGTGTGTGTGTGTGTGTGTGTGTGTGTGTGTGTGTGTGTGTGTGTACACAGTACACCAGTGTAAAACAATGCCAAGGGAATAACTGGTGTCATCTTTGCTCCATACTATACTACTACACACTTATCCACAGCTTTGTTCCGGCCTCAGTGTCCACTTGCTGGGGGAATTTGATAGCACACATATGAAGCTCTGGAGGGAGCAGTGTGTGTGTGTGTTCTGCAGGCTCTCGTTTCACACGCCTTCCCTCCTCTCTCTTTTGCCTGACTGGCCGCTGAGCAGGGAGGGAATTGCTGCAGTGGAGAACACTGGAGCAAGACTTCCTCTCCCTCCCTCCCTCCCAGCCTCCCTCCCAGCCTCCTCTCTCTTCTCTCTCCTCTCTGTCCCTCTACCTCTTCTCTCTCTGTCTGTTCCTCTCTCTCTTTCAGTCCCTCTCTCTCTGTCCCTCTCTGCCTCCTCTCTCCACCCCCCCCCCCCCCTCTCTCTCTCTCTGTCCCTCTCTCCTTCGCTCTCCCTCCAATGCACGCAGCAGACTATTTATGGCAAGCAATGTCACTCACGCAACACCATCAGATAGCAGCTCCCTGCTCTGATCACTCCACATACATCATTAACATTGCCTACGACCCCAGCACGCACACACACTGTCCTGTCCTGTGTTGGTCCTGTTAGCACACACACACACACACACACTCTCTCTCATGGCTAACAGGACCAACACATGACAGTACAACAGTCAGCTCTGCAAAAACCCACACACCGAGACAACCTGGAAACCATATTTGCTTCATGACATTTACAAGAGTATATTTTCAGGATATTTTTTGCTATGGTGTGTGTGTGTGTGTGTGTGTGTTCGTGTGTGTATGCGCAGTCAGATAGGGTGTGTGGACCCATCATCAGGTGATCTCCCTAGCCTCCCAGACAGTCATCAGAGAGCAGTGATGACAGGAGGAATTAGCAGAGCAACACAACCCAGAGAAAAATCTCCCTCCCATCCCAACCTCCCTGTCCCTGGCCAGACAGACAGACAGACCTACTGATGGAGGGAGTATGGGAAAGAAAGCAAGACAGAGACAGAGAGACAGAGACAGCGAGAGCGAGATAGAGAGACAGCGAGAAAGAGAGAGCGAAACAGAGGCGAGGCAGAGAGAGCGAGACAGCGAGAGAGAGAGAGACAGCGAGAGCGAGATAGAGAGAGAGACAGAGAGAGAGAGAGACAGCGAGAAAGAGAGAGCGAGACAGAGAGGCGAGGCAGAGAGAGCGAGACAGCGAGAGAGAGACAGCGAGAGCGAGATAGAGAGACAGCGAGAGCGAGATCGAGACAGCGAGACAGAAAAACAGAGAAACAGAGAGCGAGACAGAGAGAGAGACAGAGACAGAGAGAGAGAGACAGAGACAGAGACAGAGAGAGAGCGAGACAGAGAGACATCTGGACAGGGATTAGGTCAGCTAAAGAGACAAAAAAAAGGAGGCGGAGCGAGGGATAGGCTTAGCATGTTGTGGGTTTGAGGGGAAGGACAAAGAGAGAGAAATAGAGGTCTTACTTGAAAGAAGCCCGGGGGCATGGGTCCGCCAGGCATGCCATCGTTGGGGGGCATGTTGCCCATCACCGGACTGGGGGCAGCGGCTGCACTCTGTAAAACACAAAGGAAACAAACACACTTAGTACTCTGAAACACAAACACACACACTCTACTCAGAAACACAGATACAAACTCTGTATTCACACAAGTCATACCCACTCACTACTCCGAACAACACATACGTCATACTACACAAAGGCATTTATAGAAGTCTAGGCTTTCACCTCAAGAGTCTGATGTGGCCTAGTCTCCACTGCCTGGATTTTCTTTCAAAATGAGGAAAGACATTAGCAAGCCATTGATTGTTTTGGGTGGTTTTGACGTTTTCAGACAGTGGGAGGAATCGGCGGAGAATAACGACGCAGTTACAGCGTAACGTTTATCTGGAACATGAATGTCTGGCTCAGATTGCTTCTCCGTCACCGCATTAAGACGATATTAAAAAAGACAAGCAGCTGTCCGTCTATGAATCTGTAAACATTTATGCTTAGTAGAAATTAAAATACAGGGCATGGATGGAGTGTGTGTGTGTCTGGCTAGCTCTGGTGAAATCTCTCCTAAGCAGTTAAATGGGGTTTGGGTTTGGAGCCCCCTCCCCCAATGTATGTACTGTATGTAAGGCAGTGGCTGGGTCTGTTGTGCGTTTCCCAGGCTGTCTATTCACCAGGCAGCACCCAGTGAAGGGGATTACACAGCTGCCCAGCGCCCACCTTCTCTCCTCCCCCCTCCCCTACTGTAACCAGATCCTCCCCCCAGCCAGCCGCAGTGCAAACAGCCCCTCCATCCCTGACCCCCTCTGCCCAGAAACTCACTAACGGGCCCTGGGACCACAGGGTAGAGCGCATGCACAAGCACACACACACACAATGGCTGCTACCCCTGGTGTGAGGGTGTGAAGCTGTAGCCCCACAGGCACCGTCAGGGACTGAGAGCAGAACACACCCAGAGGGGACAATGACACACAAACAGCTTCTCCTCCTTAGCGTATAAAAAAGGCTTGTGATGAGAGTGCAAGATAATGGTAGTGAGAAGCAAGTGTTTTCATTACATACAGTTGAACCAGGTGCCAGGGAACAGAGGCTATATACTTCCTGCTTTATTCAGCAGGCAAAGAAAATAGTGACATTATAAATGGTAGATTAAAATCATCTCTGCAGCTTCAAGAAAAAAAAAGAGAAGAGAGGAAGAGAGGAGAGAGAGGGGGTAGAGGGGACGGGAGTGAGTGACCGGAGGTGGTTAACTGGGTTTGTCAGCACGTATTTACTCAATGGCAGCAGTTAGTCCAGTACAGTGGAGCCATCATGTTGGCTGATTGGCCTTGTGTGCCATTTACACACTACTGCCATCGTGTTAAGGCTAGAAAACCATCAGAAACACACACGGCAGCACTCAGCATGTTAAACATGTCAGGGCCGAGCCACTGGAAGACGAATGGAGAGACCAAAAAGAGGTATGATGGAGGCACATGGGAACTGCCATTGCAGACTAATGTCTCATCCAGACTACAGGTAGGTCTATGTCACTTAGTGCTGTGACGGTCATTACATTTTGGATGACGGTTATCGTTCAACCAAAACATGTACAGGTCACTGAGCAAGAAAGTTGCAAAGAAAAAGCCATATCTCAGACTGGCCAATAAAAAGAAAAGATTAGGATGGGCAGTCTGAGATATGGCTTTTTCTTTGCAACTCTGCCTAGAAGGTCAGCATCCCGGAGTCGCCTCTTCACTGTTGACGTTGAGACTGGTGTTTTGCGGGTACTATTTAATGAAGCCGCCAGTTGAGGACCTGTGAGGCGCCTGTTACTCAAACTAGACACTAATGTATTTGTCCTCTTGCTCAGTTGAACACCGGGGCCTCCCACTCCTCTTTCTATTCTGGTTAGAGCCAGTTTGCCCTGTTCTGTGAAAAGAGTATTACACAGCGTTGTACGAGATCTTCAGTTTCTTGGCAATTTCTCGCATGGAATAGCCTTAATTTCTCAGAACAAGAATAGACTGACGAGTTTCAGAAGAAATGTATTTGTTTCTGGCCATTTTGAGCCTGTAATTGGACCCACATTTGCCGATGCTCCAGATACTCAACTAGTCTCAAGAAGGCCAGTTGTATTGCTTCTTTAAATCAGCACAACAGTTTTCAGCTGTGCTAAAATAATTGCAAAAGGGTTTTCTAATGATCAATTGGCCTTTTAAAATGATAAACTTGGATTAGCAAACACAACGTGCCATTGGAACACAGGACTGATGGTTGCTGATAATGGGCCTCTGTACGCCTATGTAGATATTCCATTTAAAAAATCAGCCGTTTCAAGCTACAATAGCCATTTACAACATTAACAGTGTCTAAACTGTATTTCTGATCAATTTGATGTTATTCTAATGGACAAAAAAATGATTTTCTTTCGAAAACAAGGACATTTCTAAGTGACCCCAAACTTTTGAACGGTAGTATATATATATATATACACTGCTCAAAAAAATTAAGGGAACACTAAAATAACACATCCTAGATCTGAATGAATGAAATAATCTTATTAAATACTTTTTTCTTTACATAGTTGAATGTGCTGACAACAAAATCACACAAAAATTATCAATGGAAATCAAATTTTATCAACCCATGGAGGTTTGGATTTGGAGTCACACTCAAAATTAAAGTGGAAAACCACAATACAGGCTGATCCAACTTTGATGTAATGTCCTTAAAACAAGTCAAAATGAGGCTCAGTAGTGTGTGTGGCCTCCACGTGCCTGTATGACCTCCCTACAATGCCTGGGCATGCTCCTGATGAGGTGGCGGATGGTCTCCTGAGGGATCTCCTCCCAGACCTGGACTAAAGCATCCGCCAACTCCTGGACAGTCTGTGGTGCAACGTGGCGTTGGTGGATGGAGCGAGACATTATGTCCCAGATGTGCTCAATTGGATTCAGGTCTGGGGAACGGGCGGGCCAGTCCATAGCATCAATGCCTTCCTCTTGCAGGAACTGCTGACACACTCCAGCCACATGAGGTCTAGCATTGTCTTGCATTAGGAGGAACCCAGGGCCAACCGCACCAGCATATGGTCTCACAAGGGGTCTGAGGATCTCATCTCGGTACCTAATGGCAGTCAGGCTACCTCTGGCGAGCACATGGAGGGCTGTGCGGCCCCCCAAAGAAATGCCACCCCACACCATGACTGACCCACCGCCAAACCGGTCATGCTGGAGGATGTTGCAGGCAGCAGAACGTTCTCCACAGCGTCTCCAGACTCTGTCACGTCTGTCACATGTGCTCAGTGTGAACCTGCTTTCATCTGTGAAGAGCACAGGGCGCCAGTGGCGAATTTGCCAATCTTGGTGTTCTCTGGCAAATGCCAAACGTCCTGCACGGTGTTGGGCTGTAAGCACAACCCCCACCTGTGGACGTCAGGCCCTCATACCACCCTCATGGAGTCTGTTTCTGACCGATTGAGCAGACATATGCACATTTGTGGCCTGCTGGAGGTCATTTAGCAGGGCTCTGGCAGTGCTCCTCCTGTTCCTCCTTGCACAAAGGCGGAGGTAGCGGTCCTGCTGCTGGGTTGTTGCCCTCCTACGGCCTCCTCCACGTCTCCTGATGTACTGCCCTGTCTCCTGGTAGCGCCTCCATGCTCTGGACACTACGCTGACAGACACTGCAAACCTTCTTGCCACAGCTCGCATTGATGTACCATCCTGGATGAGCTGCACTACCTGAGCCACTTGTGTGGGTTGTAGACTCCGTCTCATGCTACCACTAGAGTGAAAGCACCGCCAACATTCAAATGTGACCAAAACATCAGCCAGGAAGCATAGGAACTGAGAAGTGGTCTGTGGTCACCACCTGCAGAACCACTCCTTTATTGGGGGTGTCTTGCTAATTGCCTATAATTTCCACCTGTTGTCTATTCCATTTGCACAACAGCATGTGAAATGTATTGTCAATCAGTGTTGCTTCCTAAGTGGAATGTTTGATTTCACAGAAGTGTGATTGACTTGGAGTTACATTGTGTTGTTTAAGTGTTCCCTTTATTTTTTTGAGCAGTGTGTGTGTGTGTATGTATGTGTATGTATATATATATATATATATATACACAGTCATGGCCAAAATTGTTGGCACCCCTGAAATTTTTCCAGAAAATGAAGTATTTCTCACAGAAAAGTATTGAAATTACACATGTTTTGCTATGCACATGTTTATTTCCTTTGTGTGTATTGGAATAACACAAAAAAAACAGGAAAAAAGCAAATTTGACATAATTTCACACAAAACTCAAAAAATGGGCCGGACAAAATGATTGGCACCCTTAACTTAATATTTAGTTGCACACCCTTTGGAAAAAATAACTGAAATCAGTCGCTTCCTATAACCATCAATAAGCTTCTTACACCTCTCACCCGGAATTTTGGACCACTCTTCTTTTGCAAACTGCTCCAGGTCTCTCATATTGGATGGGTGCCTTTTCCCAACAGCAATTTTAAGATCTCTCCACAGGTGTTCAATGGGATTAAGATCTGGACTCATTGCTGGCCACTTCAGAACTCTCCAGCGCTTTGTTGCCATCCATTTCTGGGTGCTTTTTGAAGTATGTTTGGGGTCATTGTCCTGCTGGAAGACCCATGATCTCGGACGCAAACCCAGCTTTCTGACACTGGGCCCTACATTGCGACCCAAAATCCTTTGGTAATCCTCAGATTTCATGATGCCTTGCACACAGTCAAGGCACCCAGTGCCAGAGGCAGCAAAACAACCCCAAAACATCTTTGAACCTCCACCATATTTGACTGTAGGTACTGTGTTCTTTTCTTTGAAGGCTTCATTACATTTTCGGTAAACAGTAGAACGATGTGCTTTACCAAAAAGCTCTATCTTGGTCTCATCTGTCCATAAGACGTTCTCCCAGAAGGAATTTGGCTTACTCATGTACATTTTGGCAAACTGTAGTCTTGCTTTTTTATGTCTCTGTGTCAGCAGTGGGGTCCTCCTGGGTCTCCTGCCATAGCGTTTCATTTCATTCAAATTTCGACGTATAGTTCGCGCTGACACTGATGCACCCTGAGCCTGCAGGACAGCTTGAATTTCTTTGGAACTTGTTTGGGGCTGCTTATCCACCATCCGGACTATCCTGCGTTGCAACCTTTCATCAATGTTTCTCTTCCGTCCACGTCCAGGGAGATTAGCTACAGTGCCATGGGTTGCAAACTTCTTGATCATGTTGCGCACTGTGGACAAAGGAACATCTAGATCTCTGGAGATGGACTTGTAACCTTGAGATTGTTGATATTTTTCCACAATTTTGGTTCTCAAGTCCTCAGACAGTTCTCTTTTCCTCTTTCTGTTCTCCATGCTTAGTGTGGCACACACAGAAACACAATGCAAAGACTGAGTCAACTTCTCTCCTTTTTATCTGCTTTCAGGTGTGATTTTTAGATTGCCCACACCTGTTACTTGCCCCAGGTGAGTTTAAAGGAGCATCACATGCTTGGAACAAACTTATTTATCCACAATTTTGAAAGGGTGCCAATAACTTTGTCCGGCCCATTTTTTTAGTTTTGTGTGAAATTATGTCAAATTTGCTTTTTTCCTGTTTTTTTTTGTGTTATTCCAATACACACAAAGGAAATAAACATGTGCATAGCAAAACATGTGTAATTTCAATACTTTTCTGTGAGAAATACTTCATTTTCTGGAAAAATTTCAGGGGTGCCAACAATTTTGGCCATGACTGTATATATATATATGGTCCTCTGTAGCTCAATTGGTAGAGCATGGCGCTTGTAACGCCAGGGTAGTGGGTTTGATCCCCGGGACCACCCATACGTAAAAATGTATGCATGCATGACTAAGTCGCTTTGGATAAAAGCGTCTGCTAAATGGCATATTATTATAATATTATATATATTATATTATATATAACTCAGCAAAAAAAGAAACGTCCTCTCACTGTCAACTGCGTTTATTTTCAGCAAACTTAACATGTGTAAATATTTGAATGAACATAACAAGATTCAACAAATGAGACATAAACTGAACAAGTTCCACAGACATGTGACTAACAGAAATTGAATAATGTGTCCCTGAACAAAGGGGGGGGGGTCAAAATCAAAAGTAACAGTAACAGTCAGTATCTGCATTAAGTACTGAAGTGCATCTCCTGCTCATGGACTGCACCGGATTTGCCCGTTCTTGCTGTGAGATGTTACCCCACTCTTCCACCAAGGCACAAGTTCCTGGACATTTCTGGGGGGAATGGCCCTAGCCCTCACCCTCCGATCCAACAGGTCCCAGATGTGCTCAATGGGATTGAGATCCGGGCTCTTCGCTGGCCATGGCAGAACACTGACATTCCTGTCTTGCAGGAAATCACGCACAGAACGAGCAGTATGGCTGGTGGCATTGTCATGCTGGAGGGTCATGTCAGGATGAGCCTGCAGGAAGGGTACCACATGGACATCTTCCCTGTAATGCACAGCGTTGAGATTGCCCGCATTGACAACAAGCTCAGTCCGATGATGCTGTGACACACCACCCCAGACCATGACGGACCTTCCACCTCCAAATAGATCCCGCTCCAGAGTACAGGCCTCGGTGTAATGCTCATTCCTTCAACGATAAACGCGAATCCGACCATCACCCCTGGTGAGACAAAACCGCGACTCGTCAGTGAAGAGCACCTTTTGCCAGTGCTGTCCGGTCCAGCGACGGTGGGTTTGTGCCCATAGGCCTACAAGCCCTCAGTCCAGCCTCTCTCAGCCTATTGCTGACAGTCTGAGCACTGATGGAGGGATTGTGCGTTCCTGGTTTAACTCGGGCAGTTGTTGTTGCCATCATGTACCTGTCCCGCAGGTGTGATGTTTGGATGTACTGATCCTGTGCAGGTGTTACAGGTGGTCTGCCACTTCGAGGACGATCAGCTGTCCGTCCTGTCTCCCTGTAGCGCTGTCTTAGGCGTCTCACAGTATGGATATTGCAATTTATTGCCCTGGCCACATCTGCAGTCCTCATGCCTCCTTGCAGAATGCCTAAAGCACATTCACGCAGATGAGCAGGGACCCTGCGCATCTTTCTTTTGGTGTTTTTCATTGTCAGTAGAAAGGCCTCTTTAGTGTCCTAAGTTTTCATAACTGTGACCTTAATTGCCTACAGTCTGTAAGCTGTTAGTCTCTTAACGACCGTTCCACAGGTGCATGTTCATTAATTGTTTATGGTTCATTAAACAAGCATGGGTAACAGTGTTTCAACCCTTTACAATGAAGATCTGTGAAGTTATTTGGATTTTTACGAATTATCTTTGAAAAGACAGAGTCCTGAAAAAGGGACGTTTACTTTTTTGCTGAGATATATATATATATATACAGTGGGGAGAACAAGTATTTGATACACTGCCGATTTTGCAGGTTTTCCTACTTACAAAGCATGTAGAGGTCTGTAATTTTTATCATAGGTACACTTCAACTGTGAGAGACGGAATCTAAAACAAAAATCCCAGAAAATCACATTGTATGATTTTTAAGTAATTCATTTGCGTTTTATTGCATGACATAAGTATTTGATACATCAGAAAAGCAGAACTTAATATTTGGTACAGAAACCTTTGTTTGCAATTACAGAGATCATATGTTTCCTGTAGGTCTTGACCAGGTTTGCACACACTGCAGCAGGGATTTTGGCCCTTCTCTAGATCCTTCAGGTTTCGGGGCTGTCGCTGGGCAATACGGACTTTCAGCTCCCTCCAAAGTTTTTCTATTGGGTTCAGGTCTGGAGACTGGCTAGGCCACTCCAGGACCTTGATGCTTCTTACGGAGCCACTCCTTAGTTGCCCTGGCTGTGTGTTTCGGGTCGTTGTCATGCTGGAAGAACCAGCCACGACCCATCTTCAATGCTCTTACTGAGGGAAGGAGGTTGTTGGCCAAGATCTCGCGATACATGGCCCCTTCCATCCTCCCCTCAATACGGTGCAGTTGACCTGTCCCCTTTGCAGAAAAGCATCCCCAAAGAATGATTTTTCCACCTCCATGCTTAACGGTTGGGATGGTGTTCTTGGGGTTGTACTCATCCTTCTTCTTCCTCCAAACACGGCGAGTGGAGTTTAGACCAAAAAGCTCTATTTTTGTCTCATCAGACCACATGACCTTCTCCCATTCCTCCTCTGGATCATCCAGATGGTAATTGGCTAACTTCAGACGGGCCTGGACATGCGCTGGCTTGAGCAGGGGGACCTTGCGTGCGCTGCATGATTTTAATCCATGACGGCGTAGTGTGTTACTAATGGTTTTCTTTGAGACTGTGGTCCCAGCTCTCTTCAGGTCATTGACCAGGTCCTGCCGTGTAGTTCTGGGCTGATCCCTCACCTTCCTCATGATCATTGATGCCCCACGAGGTGAGATCTTGCATGGAGCCCCAGACCAAGGGTGATTGACCGTCATCTTGAACTTCTTCCATTTTCTAATAATTGCGCCAACAGTTGTTGCCTTCTCACCAAGCTGCTTGCCTATTGTCCTGTAGCCCATCCCAGCCTTGTGCAGGTCTACAATTTTATCCCTGATGTCCTTACACAGCTCTCTGGTCTTGGCCATTGTGGAGAGGTTGGAGTCTGTTTGATTGAGTGTGTGGACAGGTGTCTTTTATACAGGTAACGAGTTCAAACAGGTGCAGTTAATACAGGTAATGAGTGGAGAACAGGAGGGCTTCTTAAAGAAAAACTAACAGGTCTGTGAGAGCCGGAATTCTTACTGGTTGGTAGGTGATCAAATACTTATGTCATGCAATAAAATGCAAATTAATTACTTAAAAATCATACAATGTGATTTTCTGGATTTTTGTTTTATATTCCGTCTCTCACAGTTGAAGTGTACCTATGATAAAACTTACAGACCTCTACATGCTTTGTAAGTAGGAAAACCTGCAAAATCGGCAGTGTATCAAATACTTGTTCTCCCCACTGTATATATAAATAAATAAATAAATAAATAAATAAATAAATAAATAACACACACAAAACATTAGGAACATGTTCCTAATACTGAGCTGCCCGCTCCCCTCCCCTCCCTCTCCCCCCTCCCCGTGCCCTCAGAACAGTCCCAATTTGTCGGGGCATGGGGATGCTGGCCCATGTTGACTCCAATGCTTCCCACAGTTGTGTGAAGTTGGCTGGATGTCCTTTGGGTGGTGGACAATTCTTGATACACACAGGAAACTGTTTAGCGTGAAAAACCAAGCAGTGTTGTAGTTCTTGACACTCAAACCCCATTCAAAGGCACTTAAATATTTTGTCTTGTCCATTCACCCTCTGAATGGCACACATACACAATCCTTCTTTAACCTGTCTCCTCCCCTTCATCTACACTGATTGAAGTGGATTTAACAGGTGACATAAATAAGGGATCATAGCGTTCACCTGGATTCACCTGGTCAGTCTATGTCTTGGAAAGAGCAGGTGCTCCTAATGTTACACTATATTACATTTGAGTCATTTAGCAGACGCTCTTATCCAGAGCGACTTACAGTTAGTGAGTGCATATACAAATTAGTGGATTCGGCTATTTCAGCCACACCTGTGGCTGACAGGTGTATAAAATTGCGCACAAAGTCATGCAATCTCCATAGACAAATATTGGCAGTAGAATGGCCTTACTGAAGAGCTCAGTGACTTTCGAAATGGCACCGTCACAGGATGCCACCTTTCCAACAAGTCACTTCGTCAAATTTCTGCCCTGCTAGAGCTGCCCCTGTGAACTGTAAGTGCTGTTATTATGAAGTGGAAACGTCTAGGAGCAACAACGGCTCAGCCGCGAAGTGGTAGGCCACACAAGCTCACAGAACTGAACTGCTGAGTGCTGAAGTGCGTAAAAATCTGTCCTCGGTTGCAACACTCACCACAGAGATCCAAACTGCCGCTGGAAGCGACGTCAGCACAAGAACTGTTCGTCGGGAACTTCATGAAATGGGTTTCCATGGCCGAGCAGCCGCACACAAGCCTAAGATCACCATGCCAATGCTAAGCGTCAGCTGGAGTGGTGTAATGCTCGCCGCCATTGGACTATGGAGCAGCGGAAATGCAATCTCTGGAGTGATTAAAAAACGTTTCACCATCTGGCAGTCCGATAGACAAATCTAGGTTTGGCGGATGTCAGGAGAACGCTACCTGCCCGAATGCATAGTGCCAACTGCAAAGTCTGGTGGAGGTGGAATAATGGTCTGGGGCTATTTTTCATGGTTCGGGCTAGGCCTCTTAGTTCCAGTGAAGGGAAATCTTAACGCTACAGCATGCAATGACATTCTAGACGATTCTGTGCTTCCAACTTTGTGGCAACAGTTTGGAGAAGGCCCTTTTCTGTTTCAACATGACAATGCCCCCATGCACAAAGCGAGGTCCCTACAGAAATGGTTTGTCGAGATCGGTGTGGAAGAACTTGACTAGCCTGCACAGAGCCCTGACCTCAACCCCATCGAACACCTTTGGGATGAATTGGAACGCCGACTGTGAGCCAGGCCTAATCGCCCAACATCAGTACCCAACCTCACTAATGCTAGTGGTTGAATGGAAGCAAGTCCCCGCAGCGATGTTCCAACATCTAGTGGAAAGCCTTCCCAGAAGAGTGGAGGCTGTTATAGAAGCAAAGGGGGGGACAAACTCCATATTAATGCCCATAATTTTGGAATGAGATGTTCGACGAGCAGCTGTCCACATACTTATGACCATATATAGAGATACAGTGCCTTACAAAGGTATTCATCCCCCTTGCCGTTTTTCCTATTTTGTTGCATTACAACCTGTAATTTAAATTGATTTTTATTTGGATTTCATGTAATGGACATAAACAAAATAGTCCAAATTGGTGAAGTGAAATGAAAAAAATAACATTTCCAAAAATTACCTTCAGAAGTCACATAATTAGTTAAATAAAGTCCACCTGTGTGCAATCTAAGTGTCACATGATCTCAGTATATATACAGCTGTTCTGAAAGGCCCCAGAGTCTGCAACACCACTAAGCAAGGGGCACCACAAAGCAAGCGGCACCATGAAGACCAAGGAGCTCTCCAAACAGGTCAGGGACAAGGTTGTGGAGAAGTACAGATCAGGGTTGGGTTATAAAAAAATATCAGAAACTTTGAACATCCCATGGAGCACCATTAAATCCATTATTAAATGTTTTTAACAATATGGCACCACAACAAACCTGCCAAGAGAGGGCCGCCCACCAAAACTCACAGACCAGGCAAGGAGGGCATTGATCAGAGAGGCAACAAAGAGACCAAAGATAACCCTGAAGGAGCTGCAAAGCTCCACAGCGGAGATTGGAGTGTCTGTCCACATGACCACTTTAAGCCGTACACTCCACAGAGCTGGGCTTTACGGAAGAGTGGCCAGAAAAAAGCCATTGCTTAAAGAAAAAAATAAGCAAACACATTTGGTGTTCGCCAAAAGGCATGTGGGAGACTCCCCAAACATATGGAAGAAGGTACTCTGGTCAGATGAGACTAAAATTGAGCTTTTTGGCCATTAAGTAAAAAGCTATGTCTGGCGCAAACCCCACACCTCTTATCACCCTGAGAACACCATCGGCAGGGACTGGGAAACTGGTCAGAATTGAAGGAATGATGGATGGCGCTAAATACAGGGAAATTCTTGAGGGAAACCTGTTTCAGTCTTCCAGAGATTTGAGACTGGGACGGAGGTTCACCTTCCAGCAGGACAATGACCCTAAGCATAATGCTAAAGCAACACTTGAGTGGTTTAAGGGGAAACATTTAAATGTCTTGGAATAGCCTAGTCAAAGCCCAGACCTCATTCCAATTGAGAATCTGTGGTATGACTTAAAGATTGCTGTACACCAGCGGAACTCATCCAACTTGAAGGAGCTGGAGTAGTTTTGCCTTGAAGAATGGGCAAAAATCCCAGTGGCTAGATGTGCCAAGCTTATAGAGACATACCCCAAGAGACTTGCAGCTGTAATTGCTATAAAAAGGTGGCTCTACAAAGTATTGACTTCGTGGGGGTGAAGTTATGCACGCTCAAGTTCTGTCTTATTTCTTGTTTGTTTCACAAGAACAAATATTTTGCATCTTCAAAGTGGTAGGCATGTTGTGTAAATCAAATTATACAAACCCCCTAAAAATCAAATTTTAATTCCAGGTTGTAAGGCAACAAAATAGGAAAAATGCCAACTCATTTAAGGGTTTTTCTTTATTTTTTACAATTTTTTACATTGTAGAATAATAGTGAAGACATCAAAACTATGAAATAACACATATGGAATCATGTAGTATCCAAAAAAGTGTTAAACAAATCAAAATATATTTGAGATTTGAGATTTTTCAATCTTTGCCTTGATGACAGCGTTGCACACTCTTGGCATTCTCTCAACCAGCTTCATGGGGTAGTCACCTGGAATGCATTTCAATTAACAGGTGTGCCTTCTTAAAAGTTAATTTGTGGAATTTATTTCCGTCTTAATGCATTTGAGCCAACCAGTTGGGTTGTGACAAGGTAGGGGGTGGTATACAGAAGATAGCCCTATTTGGTAAAAGACCAAGTCCATTTTATGGCAAGAACAGCTCAAATAAGCATAGAGAAACGACAGTCCATCATTACTTTAAGACATGAAGGTCAGTCAACATGGAAATTGTCAAGAACTTTGAACGTTTTTTCAAGTGCAGTCGCAAAAACCATCAAGCGCTATGATGAAACTGGCTCTTATGCGGACCGCCACAGGAATGGAAGAGAGAGTTACCTCTGCTGCAGAGGATAAGTTCATTAGAGTTACCAGCCTCAGAAATTGCAGCCCAAATAAAGTAACAGACACATCAACATCAACTGTTCAGAGGGGACTGTGTGAATCAGGCCTTCATGGACGAATTGCTGCAAAGAAACCACTACTAAAGGACACCAATTTGAAGAAGAGATCTGCTTGGGCCAAGCAATGGACATTAGACCGGTGGAAATGTGTCCTTTTTTGGTTCCAACCGCCGTGTCTTTGTGAGACGCGGTGTGGGTGAACGGATGATCTCCGCATGTATAGTTCCCACCGTAAAGCATGGAGGAGGAGGTGTTATGGTGTGGGGGTGCTTTGCTGGTGACACTGTCTGTGATTTATTTAGAATTCAAGGCACACTTAACCAGCATGGCTACCACAGCATTCTGCAGTAATATGCCATCCCATCTGGTTTGGGCTTAGTGGGACTATCATTTGTTTTTCAACAGGACAATGACCCAACACACCTCCAGGCTGTGTAAGGGCTATTTTACCAAGAAGGAGAGTGATGGAGTGCTGCATCAGATGACCTGGCCTCCACAATCCCCTGACCTCAACCAAATTGAGAGGGTTTGGGATGAGTCGGACCGCAGAGTGAAGGAAAAGCAACCAACAAGAGCTCAGCATATGTCGGAACTCCTTCAAGACTGCTGGAAAAGCTTTCCAGGTGAAGCTGGTTGAGAGAATGCCAAGAGTGTGCAAAGCTGTCATCAAGGCAAAGGGTGGCTATTTGAAGAATCTCAAATATAAAATATATTTTGATTTGTGTAACACTTTTTTGGTTACTACATGATTCCATATGTGTTATTTCATAGTTGATGTCTTCACTATTATTCTACAATGTAGAAAATAGTAAAAATAAAGAAAAACCCTTGAATGAGTAGGTGTGTCCAAACTTTTGACTGGTACTGTATATATATATATATATAAAATCTCACAGACACACACAGATGGAGAGACAGACAGTGGTCTGTATAAACAGAGATAATTACAGGTGGCCTTATCTGCATTATCTGCAGTGTGATCAGAGGCATGCTGGGTAGCTGAGCCGAGCGCAGGCGACCGGTTGGTCAGTAGAAGCTGACATGGACGGCAGGCTGGGCTGCTCAGGGTGGGGAGGAGAGAGGAGGGGGGAGAGGGGGTTGGAGTGAGGAGGGGGGAGAGGAGGAGGGGAGACTGTTTCTGAAGCACACAGCCAGCTAGTCAGCCAGCCAGCCAGCGAGGCTCCACTGCACTCTCAGGTAATGCAGCGAAAGGCCTGTTCTCCTTGTTGCCATGACAACCCCGACCTCAGCTCTTGCTCTCCAATGCCCATTAAAACCCTCAGGCCGTCAATCATCAGCCTGGCCAGGGAGCAAGAAAGAGAGGGAGAGGGAGGGAAAGCGAGGGAAAGAGAGAGAGAGAGAAGCAGAGATAGAGTGAGAGAGAGAGAGAAGCAGAGAGAGATGGAGTTTAAAGGAGCCTGTGGCTTTTGATAGCTGGCCTGTTTGCCACCGCTAGCTCCCGCTCTCTCATGCACACAAACACATGCGCAGATACACAATACCCCCACAGTATTTAACCTTTTACACATAATTGTCTCTGCTCCTTCTCTCTCTCCTGTATTTCTGCAGCAGCACTGCGTCCTGCTTACTCTCCCTTCCCTCCCCTCTATCCATAAATAATACAGTTAATGATGGTTCCTTCCAGTGGGTCTGTATTTATATCTCCTCCTAAGAAGAACACACACACAACCAACCCAAACCCATTGATTGTTCTGTGAGCACTCTGAAGTAATTAGCTACCGCTGTTTTAATTATCAGTATCCATCCTGCTGCCTAGCTGGACATGAGGCAGTGAGTGAGAGTTGCAATCTGCCCCATTGATCTGGACCTGGGTTCCAGGGGGTAATAGATCCAGTCTTATCTGCTCCGAGACAAGCAGGGAAACACAGATCACTTGCTGGCTGGCTGGCTGGCCACAACACAAACACACACACAGAGACCGCTCGACTCCTGCAGACACTACTGCTATAAACGCAGTCCAGGAGTGGATTTAGCCACTCTGTTAAACCTACATTATTCACCAATGCTACGGCTGTTCTCTTTCTGCTACAGGAACAATAAATATGAATATTAGAGCTGGAGATTAACAGCAGGCTGGCTGAGTTCATTAATGGTAAGACTAAGAAGTCCTGGTTTAGGTTTTTGGAAGATGGGAGGATTTAGAAGAAAGAAATCTGGGGTTGATGAGTAGGTGTGAGAGGATCCAGACAGGTTGGAATAAAATAATTTCAGATAGAGGGTGCTTCGTGTGTGTGTGTGTGTGTGTGTGTGTGTGTCGTGGTGCCAGTGGTGAGACCATAGTAGCAGTCAGTAGAGCAGAGTGGAGCTGGCAGATAGACTGCTTGGCTGTGCATCTGCATGGGCTTGGACTGGAAGAACTGGAAAGCCTCAGTCGATCTCCATGACCAACCACTGAATTCATCGCCACGCGACTGCTGCTTGTCATCACCGCCCCCTCCCTCTCCCCTCTCCTAGCACCTCTCCAACTCTCCTCCTCTTCAGACCCAGCTTCAACTGCTCCAATAATTCTGTCACTGAAGTCAACTCCTTAAAGATTAACTGGAGAGGCTGCTGGCTGACAGATGTGCCTTTTAATCAATGGGAGAGAGAGAGCAGCGTGGTGCAGGAACTCAGGAACCTGACTCCAAACATGGCTACACGGGAAAGCCCTCCATGACAAGTGGAGAGAGGAGGCCGGCTCAGCACACAGCTTGCTTTCCTCCCACTGCTCCAGCAGCTGTTGTGTCAATCAGGTAAATTAATTACCAGTAAACAAATCTGCCAGGGAGGGAAGAGGGAACCCCCTCGCCCCGTCGTCCAACCCAATCCCCAGACCCCTCCCCCACACCCACACCTCTGCCTCGTCAGCATCCCACATCAGGGCCCCTGGAGCCTGGAGCCTCTAGCTGCCTCCCAGGCAGCCCTGTGAGCGGTCAGCCCAGGAGGAGGCCTCTCGGCTGGGGAAATGTCTCCACTCTACATCCATCCTGCCCTGGAGCACCTGCTTTGGCTCCTGCTGCTTTGCAGTCTCCCCATCACAGCCACACTGACGCAGATATAATAACTGGCTGACACTTTTGTTGAGAGCAGACAAACACATACAGTAACCATTAATGTGCTAGCGTGCATCTGTCCGTGTCTGGCTAATTTATGCGCGATAGTGGTAGAGCAGCCCAACTGGCAGTTAGTAATACATGAGGTGGTAGTGTGTGTGAATGTTCTTGGTAGGGGTGACGTGTGACAGACTCTCTTGGGATGTGTGTGTGTGTGTGGCACATTACAGGTGTAAAAACAACAAACACACCTCTCTCCAGTCTCCCTGCATTGGCGTTTAGAGAGCAAGGAGCAGCTACCTCCCCCAGCCTGTGTGTGTGTCAGGGTTAAATTACACCTAAGTGAAACTGACACAAACACGCGTGAGTAGGGTGCAACACGTGTCCGGATTCTGCTGTTGGCCTTGACATGCACACACACAGGGCCGTGGAGGCCTTTATTGGCAGTGTCAGATGTTAATGACCAGCGGTGAGGATGCCCTGCTGTTCATTCCACTGACCCCCTTCCGCGAGTCCCCCCGCTGGCCCTGCTCTTTAATTACTAAGGGGAGAGGACAGCAAACCCTGCCGCCCCCCATAGTGTGAAGAACGGTGACCACCCCTCCTCTTCCTTCCTCATTAGGCCAGTGTCAGCCACTAGAGGAAGGTGCCATGATGGAGCTCCAGTCTAAACAAGGACAAGGCTCCTCTCTTCTGACTGCCACCAGCCACACACACACACGACTAATTGAAGATTATTAATGCCACTAATTAGGGAATTGCATGGCTGGCGCTAGGAGACTCCACTGTGTGTGTATTATACAGGAGCTCAGCGAGTGTGTGATGTTGATCTCCACCTCTCCTTCAAGTTCTTTACAGCTGCTTTCACACAGGTGTCACCACCGATCCGGTCTGCTCTGCTCTGATGGAGACTCTATAAATACACTGAGTATTGACTGAGCGACAGACAGACAGACAGACTTCAGTCAATGGTAGTATATGGTTTGAATGGTAAGTGTATGGTTTTTCTAAAGTATCTTTCGAAATGAAGGCATGATGCAATTCGGAGTCCCGGCATTGAATACCACACACACAGACAAACACATCAGTTAGTGTAGCCTGAATGAACTGTATAATCCCTGTCTGTCAATGAGATCATCACGGCAGTTCTGATGCACTGTTTCTTACCTGCAGGCTGCCTGATCAAAGAGCTCATTTTGTAGGCCTCACTCAGACATACTGCCTCTCTCTCCAACACTTAAAGGGCCAGCGTAGCTCCAAATCGGGATCCCAGTACCCCAACTTGGCCAGAAGGTTTTTATAAATATAATACACTTTATGGGCAAGACCTCCTATGGGACTTATTAAAAATGAAAAGAGTTTCTGGCAGCTTGGTTACCAATACCCCCCCCCCACTCTCTATTTTTCTCTTACTTTCCCTGTACAACTGGATTTGATTTTTGCAGGAGGGAGAGAAGGCTTAGACAGTGGGAGAATGAGGGAAACAAAGAGGAAGAAAGAGCAGGGAAGTTAGAGAGAGAGGTACACACATTCCACAACGCCAAAGGCGACATGGTTGGACCTTAAAAGCCTAAACGAGACGTCTATTGCTCGCAACAATAAAATAATTACCATATATTATTCCTACTAATGTGGTAATATAGTCAAATGAGTTTTTTAAATATAGAGTACAGAGAGACGTAAGGGGGAAGAGGCGAGAGCCACAGCAGTCCTCTCAACCGTGCGGTTTCTGAGAGTTACTTTCGGGGGCGGCGGTGCCAGTATCACTTGCATGTTGTGGCCATTTTCAGCAACTCGGGCCTGTTGGCTGTGCTATCTGAGAAATGCTAATACAGTACTACAGAACTCATCTCCAACTGCACAACGCCACACACACACACACAAATTGGGTGGGAGATAGATGGGGGTTGAGGGGCGTGTTGAAAGCTGAGACATTTAAAAAAAGGTCCCAGTCAGTCCAGTCTGATCCAGTTCCAATCTAGCCACCCTATTTCAGATGGGGAGCGTTACAGGCCTGGCTGGCAGGAAGGGCATTCCCAGGGGAGCAGGCCACCGCTCCAAATCCAGAGGGGGGCAGGGCGCAGGGGGCCAACCTTTCACTCAGCAGCACCACTGCCGCCCACCCCCGACCCTCCCAACGGAGGCACCAGTCCTTTGTTGACTAACCCTCAGCTCATATACATAATAGTATACCATGTGAGGACTATGTGTGAGTACGTGGGCTGTTGTTGACTGTCTCATGTCAGTGTTGCTATGACATCTTGGTAAGTACACACTAGGGATGCACTTTAGAGTCTTCCACCTTTACAAAGTGATTTTAGAAAGCTATTGTCCCAAGTGGAAATCACCTAGTAGATTTTTTTTAAGGACCAAAGGAGCTAGAGGGAACAGGATTGAGACAAGGAGTTCACGGGCCATGAGAAAAAGGCAAATGTGCGACCTGCTAATAAACAGCATGTGTCTTTTTAGCGTACTAAGACAAAGGTTGCAGCGCCAACATTTCCCCATGTACACCCCCCCCCCCCCCCCCCACACACACACACACACACACAGACCTCCCTCTCCTCTCCAGGACTCTGTGCTGTTTCTCAGGTCAGAGTCAGTAACCTAGTGGCCATCAGGACCCAGGAGCACAGAAGAGCACAGCACCCCGAGCTCCTGCTGGAGAGGGGGGAGGAGAGGGGGGTGGGGGGAGACAGCAACCGCATTCCCAAGACAATGGAGGGTCTGTGGAGCTGCCTGAACCTTTGCGGGCCTGGGGCAAAGAGAGAAAGAACGAGGGAGGAGGGAGAGAAAGAGAAAGATATAGAAGAGAGAGAAAGAGGAAGCAGAGAGGGAGAGAGAAAAAGAGCGAAGAGAGCTAGAGAACAGAGAGGGAGTGAGAGAGAAAGAACGACTGCAGGAGAGTGTGGACACAGAGGAGGAGGTGTAAGAGTGAGGGAATGCTGGCACGGCTGTAGTATGGAACTGATAAGGATAAGATGGGATAAAGAGAGAGAGGAGGGTAAAAAAGGAGGGAACTCGTTTTCAGGAATACAGGGGGAGGAGAGCTGAGAAACAGAACAGCTCTCTCCCTCTCTTTCTGTCACGTCGCCTGCCTGTGCAGCCATTACAGAACTCGAGGAATTCAAACTGTTGTGTGCTGCACCACCAGGCACACACACACACGGTCATATGAAATGTCTCTGTCACGAGCTGCCACAGAGCACTACTTGAGTAAAAGGCAGGAGTTATTTGTGTATGGTAGGAGAGGCTGAGATTGGTCATAAACCACGTCTCTGTCCACCCACCCTGGCCCACATCCCCCGGACCACAGGCTGAGAGAGACAAACAGCCGGCAGCATACTCACTCTACCTAGCAGAAATCACTGGGCTGGTGGTGGGGCTGGACTGGAATACACAACACAGAGACAGGCAGGCAGGGAAACACACACACACACACACACACACACACACACACACACAGGTCAAACAGCCAGCACCCCGACACTTCCTGGGCCTGACCAACTGCCGTTTGGACACTATTGGGTAAATATTTACTTTGCAGGATGATCGTCATGGGGGGGGCAGTGGTAAGGTTTCCAGTAGTAAGGTTTCTCACTTTCTCTTAACATGAGCGTGCATGTAAGCGGGCTAACTCGCACCAGCATCACCATAAATAAATAAATACATCCTGACAGAAATATATTTACTAGCCTCAACCCGCATAGAGCATACCACTATCATGCTCCCTCAGAGAAAGAGAGAGATGGAGTCAGATCATCTTTTGTTGTGAGAGGGGCTCCAGTAGTTGGCTAAGAAGCCCAATAGACTCCTTAGCGGAGAGGATTAATTGCAGGAGTGAAACATGCTTACAGTTCACTCCTGTTTGGTTGTTCTCTGAGCTGTTTCCTCAGTGTTTTACCCCCTCTACCAGCACCCCTCCCCCAGTCAGGCACCCTCCCTCCCCTGGGCCTCCCCACCCCCCACAGCCTGTGCTGTAGCAGTGCTGCGACCCCCTCTCTGTGCCTCCTCTTCTCCGTCACTGCGCCTTTTTTTTCAACTTCTGGTTTTGATTCAGTATCAACCGCCCTTTTGCCCCCTCTTCTCTTCCCCCACTCACTCACTCCATCTCTCTCTGTGACACTGTGCATTGCTGCCTACTGGAAACGGATATGTTAACACGTGTGCATGCACAGCTAAAGATGTTTATTCCTTCTAGTGTGTATGGACAAACACGCAAAGACATGAGCCCACACACACAAAGAGATCAACACAACACCCGGGATCATATTCATGGAGACATACTCCCCCTCCTCGATTAATAGTCTAAATATGTCAGTGATCACAGAGAGGCAGCCCATCCTGATCAGTCGATGAGACCCTCCCCCTCTCCTCCAGTCTCTCCCTCACTCTTTTCTGAGTCCCTCTTCCCCTCCCCCTTCCTCTCCCTCCGCCTCACCCTGCCTCTTCGCCACTCCTCTCTCTCCACTTCCTCACTCTCCTCTCCTTCTCCCTCCCCCTCCTCTTCTCTCTCACTCTCCTCAACTCCTTTCTTCTCTCCACCTATATCTCTCTTCTCCCCCTCTCTCATACAGAGTTTTCATTAGCTATGTTCACTTAGAGCCGAGGCGGCAGCCTGTCAAACTACACATAAACATGGTGCATTGCATATCACAGCCTTTCTGCAGGTAATGCAAACACTGGAAAGATTTCAGACACATCAGCGAGCACTGTATAGATGGGTTGGCTGGCAGCGTCATGAAAATGATGTGCGCGCACCGATGGGGCAGGAAGCCGTGCTTTGTTATGATTCTGAACGGTCAGACACTGTGCCTTCAGAAAG